ATTGCACTTAATTAATTCTAATGCTATTGATTAGGTGGACAAAATGTAAAAAAAAAAAAAATCCCAACAAAAAAAGTTTTTGTTTACATGAGAGCTCAAGACCTCCAGGCTGGCTGGCTGGCTGGCTGACTTGTATTCATGCTGCATTTGTTATGCTTCTGTTGGTAAGCATGGGTGAAAGAACCAATACGTTTGGTAGGGTTAATTTTGCCACCACCAAACTGAAAATTTTACAAAAATTTGTTTCCTTATTACTCAAGTAACGACTCATGGGTAAGAGCTCTTATGATGAGGGGCAGGATGTCTTCGCAGAAACAGTGCTGCGGAAAGCTGCCCTCTGCTTCTCTTCCCAGGAGTGCCCCACCCTCCACTGTGTACCTGAGAAATGAGAGTCTGTTCTGGAAAAGTCTCTTGAAGAGCAAAACTGTTGTGAAAAGAAAAGGAAACACAGTGATCATGACAACAGCAAGAAAAAAATGCTACAACTAAGTTGCACGTATGTAAATCCTGGGCTTCCTTCCCCTTCTCATCATAGGGAATATAGGCCTGGCACCCTCAGCCACCTTTCAGGACCTCAATGAAAGCGGGCAACTTTGCAAGACAAACTTTCTCTACTTAAGATAAGCCCTTACTGTTCTCCAAGTCAGACTTCAAGCTATGAATTCTTCTGCCAAAATATAATTGTCTGTTAAATTACCTATATAGAAGTATAATTGTAACTGCTTAGGTAGAGCAAACTACAGGACTTTTAACAAGCTTTGTATTGGAGATGGGATATCTTATTATTTTTACAAGCACAAAGGCAATATAGTATTTTTGATTAACGCCACAATGGAAGAAGCACCAAAGGAACTCAAAGAAAGGGTAACTACATACATAAATTGTAATAAAAATCATGTCTTCTCACATTAGAGCCTCCACACCCTCACATAACCACATGTGGTAAATACAGAGCTGTAATTGCACATCTGAGAACTAGAGGTTTTCAAATGAGTTGACACAAAGTTAACTCACTCCAAACATTCTTCGAGTAAGTCAGTACAGGGAAATAGCGATACTGTCATATATAAGTATTCTATAGTACTTGTTAGCAAATTTATAAGCAAGTACTTATTTTTACTCAAAATTTATAAATCAAACTGAGCACAACTCTAAAACATGAAATAACTCTTTTGTCCCAATTCACAAATATTATTACTATTGACACAAATCATTTGATCACTCTATACACTGTTTATCAGACCTTAAATCACACATTAAAAAAACAGCATTGTTTCAATTTGTTGTTGTTCAAATAAACACAAATCACTAGTAAAGAAAGAAGGGTTCAGAAAGAAGCTAGCTTGCTGTTGACAGAGTTCTTAAATGAGTCTAGAACTGAATCAACTTAATGAATGTTTATAGAACATTCCTACATCACCTACAGGTGATTGCAAATTAAGACATCACCTGTAGGAGATTAACACAGAAGCCTCTCAAGAAAGATCAGCATGACAGAGTACAAAGTGCCCTGACGATTTAGAATATGAAAGATAGTATCTGGTTGTGGGGGATCCAGACCAAGCTTCACAGAAATGCCTGTGTCTCCTATTATTATTCCATTTTTAAATTAAAATACATATATACAAAAACAAAAGTCATCACTTACCTTTTTCTGGCTCAGTAAGTCTACAGAAAGAAATCATCTTAACAATTTGGTACCTAGTTCTTTAAAAATTGTAATGCTAGATACATATGTTTAAACAGTACACACACCATAGGTCATAAGTCATTTAAGACGGGACAATACCAATTATTCTATTACTTATTTGTTTAATTTACTATCTTGATTTCTATTTAGGATGGTATATGGAAGGGAAAAAGTTGGCAGCGGCACTCCCTCTTGGAGATGCCTGAGCCAAAGCTGACCTTACTGGGCATTCCTGCAAACTCCCTAAAGGAATTTCTCAGTGGGAAGATAACAAAGAAAGTTCTTATCTAAGAATATATTTAGAAACCTACCCTGGTCTATTTAAATCCACACTATCAAATGCAATAACTAGACATATTTGGATAGTTAAATTTAAGTTAATTAAAATTACAAGTTCAGGTCTTCAGTTGCAACACCACATTTCAAGCGCTCACTCAGTGGCCATATGTGGCTAGTGACCGCGATATTAGATATCACAGATATGGAACACTTCTGTGACTGTAGAAAGTTCTATGGGACAATACTCTTGTAAATAAACCTGGCATTTTTATCTCATTTGGCAAGAGAATGGAAGTTAATCACAAAGAGTACATGGGTAATTAATGGAGAATAAAAATGAAGGCCACCGAAATTTGGAAAGCAAGCTCCCCCTGTGCTAATGTCAACCACACATAGTGGCACTTGCCACTCAACTAAGAATGCCTCTGAGTGTGTGAAAAAGGATGCCTTAGAGCCAATGGGCTCAGGGCCTCCCAATGACCATGCACTTAGTGACAGTTCATTCATCCTTCACTCATGATTAGTAAAGTTCAGCTAATTTTACTAATGCATGTTTGTTTCATATGTCATGAGTCATAATCTTGTGCTGTATCTCAGGTTGAGATCTATGATTCCAGAATATTATTCAATTTGATGTAACTGAATAGTACAGATGTATTATAATTTATTTAATCATTGACAGACATTTAGGCTGCTTCAAATGTTCTACTTTTACAAATAACACTGCAGAAAATGCTCATATACATAAAATCTCTTATACATTCAGACTGTTATTCTGTAGGATATAATGCTGGAAGTGGTTTTGCTGAGTTATAAGGTTATGAATATTTGCAATTTTGGTAGATACCACAAACTATCTTTGACCAATGTATTTTTTCTCGAATAGGAAAGTAAAATTCCTTTTATCCAAAAATGAAGTAATGGATGTACATCTCTTGACATAGTGCTTACCACAATGGAGCTCCCAATAAATGGTAATCTATGATAAAAAAAATTAAAAAGCCCTTTTATCTACTCTATTTCCATCACTAGATATTATCTGTCTTATTAATTTTTGCCTATCTGATGATTTTTACTTTCTTGTCCTTCATCATCAGTGAGGCCAAGGATATATTTACATGTTAACTGGCTATTGGGAGATACATAAATTGTCTTCCCATGGCCTTTTTATACACTTTGCCACCTTATTTATAAATAAAAAACAGGGTAGTTTTTTTTGCTGAGTGACTTGCAGGAGGTGTTACTTTCCTGGTCTTTGTGTTTTATGGGCTGGCTGCCTGCAGGTGTCATCCTCAGCCACCCTGCCCACCACTCTTCTCACCACTCTTGTCTCCTCCTGGTTTAAGACATCTATCATCATCAGTTAAGTTTCACGTACTCAAACCTGTCAATCTTTTCCTTTAGGACTTCCGGGTTTTAGGTCTTTCTTAAGAAGTTGTTTTGCCATTCTGAGATTACAAACATACTCTTCTTAAACTTTTAATCTTTTCTTTTTTACATATAAAAATTATAGTATTACTGGAATTTATTTTTATATATGGTGAGAAATAAGGTTCCAACTTAGTTTTCTTACAAATAGGCAATTGTTTCAGTATCATTTAGGGAAAAAAATTATCTTTCCTCCACTGATTTGAAATGTCACATTTATCATGTACCCATATCTTACTAACACTTTATCTGTCCCCATGCAGTAAAAAATACAGGTCCAACTCCTGATTCCCCAACAAACTTTACTACTGTATTCTGTTTTAATTAGCAACTTAACTATACTCTTCTTTCATCTAGATTATAAAAAGTACATGGACTTGAGGAAATCCAGGGCTCCAATTCTAATAAAAGGTCCATATTTTAATCAGCCAAGGCCACAGTCAGTGACCTGGCAAATATGCATTCAGGTCTTACAGTATGTTTCAATCCACCTCTGTTACCAACTTTGCTATCCCCTCCTCAACAGCAGCCCAGACAGAACACTTAAATAATTATTTGTTAAATGTGTTAATGCATATCAGTGACAGGTAATTTACTCAGATGAAAGTATATATTTTTAAAGTCACAATTTTATCAGTATCAACTTTCAGCTTATTAGCAATAAATCCTAGAGAGAGGAAATGATAGCTTGCATTACTGAAGGAATACAACAACTTCACTAAAGCTACTAAAATAGTTTATCTCCCCCCAACTAGTGTTGCAGCATGTCCAGAACCAAAATCAAAGCAAAACCAAACAACAGTAACAACACATCCCTGCCGTTTCCCCAGCATCCGCCCACTTAGTGTTCACACTAGCCAAGCAGCCATTAGCTCTTGCCTTGATTCATCTGAAACCCTTCTAGCTGGTCTCTACTTCTATTCTGCCACATTCCCTCTCCCCTAATTCTATTCCCCACAAGTAGCTCTCATGATACTTTTAAATTATAAAGCAGACTATGTTTAACTCTTCCAAAAGCTTCCCAATCACTTGAAATAAAACCCCAAGTCTTCCCATGGCCTATGAAGTTGATATGAGCCCTGCCTACCTATCCAACTTCAGCCTACCACATTGCTCCCTCTTGATCACCAGAAACCAACCATCCTATAAATAAGAAAATAAAACAGCACCTTCCACCCTTCATGCACACATCAAGCTAACTTCTACCTCAGGGCCTTGAACCGCTCTTACCTCTGCCTAACACAGTGTACCTGCAGATATCTATATAGTATTATTCTCATTTCATTTAGGTCCTTGCTTATGTTACCTTCTATTTTTTTAATCCTGATTTATTTTTCTTCATAATACTCAAATATTACCACCTTATATTCTATTATATTTGTTTATCAAACACCTTAAGTAGCTCTATCAGACCATGGGGTTTTTTTTAATTCATTTATTTATCCTCATAACCTAGAAAAATGCCTGAAACATAGAGCATATGCAATAAATATTTGTTGAAAAAAATGAGTAAGCAAATAATATACATGTAGGTTGATTATGAATTAATGATCCTAACTTAATACATAATCCAAAGGAAAACTTGTTTCAGGGCATTACTTACTTTTCGTTGTTTTACAGAGTCCAATTTTATGAGCCAATATGAAGCCACTTTTGTTTTATGATACTTCCAGTTATCAATGATCTGTTTTGGGGGAGAAACATTAAGCAATTGAATCTAGAATTTTCCTCAAAAGTAACAAAAAATAAATGGGTTGATGTGAATTTTATTAATTTGTGAAATGAAAACACTACAATACTACTTATAATAAATACTGCCTACTTTCATTAAAAGCCACATGTAAAGATTTCTAACATAAGGTAAAGAAGCCATCTGAGTCCAAACCCTCTTGCTGTAAAAAGCACACAATCTCTTGTGAATGAAACTCGTATGTCTTTGGGCACAAAAGATTTGGAAAGAAGCCCAAGACATGGATTTTCCATGTATTAATCTAAGAGCTGTATTTACCACATGACATATAATAACGCAACAATGAATAACACATTAAAAGATAACATACTTATTTAGTGTTCTATTATCCCTTTGTTTTGTGTGCAAATCTGCAAATTTATGAATATATATTCTAGTAATATACACATAACAAGCAGACTAGGATATTTTCTGCATATAGTGAACAAACAGTAAATGATCTAATGTCATATAATTATGAATTATATTTTATTAATTATGTAACTCTATATATTCTTTATAGAACAATCACACAACCACAAATATTAGCTCCATTCTATAATTTTTCTTATACCTGATTCAAAAAGGTGGTATATAATAACTAGTATCTCTAAGAAATATAAATAAAATAGTATAAAGACATTGGCTTTACTAGAAAAGAACTTGATTGAATAAGATATGTCAATAAAAACACATCTAGCATAATGCTTCACAACTAATGTTCACTTTTCTTCCTTTCCCTCTGATGTAACACATAGCAGCTCATTTGCACACAAGATACAATTTTTACTTTTTAAAAAATATGTTAACAACACCGTGTATAATATTTGGGAATTTGGGTTATAACTATGTCATGATTACAAAATAGAAATGCCATTTTTGATTTTTTTAAATGAAGGAAGTCTTTTGCTATTATTTATTTGCTTTTTCTTTCTAGACAGCTGCTTGAGACAGTTTAAATAATGCTAAAAAGTGAAAACTGTGGTTGTTATCCTACAACTGACCACTAGATGGTGCCTTCTCCTCTGGGAAAAAAAAAAAAACAGAAACCAGAAAACAGTATTTTATTACAGAGGATTTATCTAGAAATGACAATTTTAAAAGGATGTTTGATTGGAGAAATAGAATTATGAGCTTAGAAATGCTTTTAACCAAAATTATTTTAATAGCTTGAACATTCTTTCCAAATTACACTGTCATTGACTTTAATATAAATTTTAGGACTGTTTGCCATTTTAGAATGTTCCACTGAGTGGCTCAAATGTGTGTATAACAATAAAACACACAACATAAGGCACTTCAAAATTTGACTGAAATCATTCACGGTGTCACATTTAAGTATTTTTGACATCTTATGCCCTGGGCCCCACTTTTTTTTTCATTATATCTCATACCACAGTAGATCTTTCTAAATATTTATAGAAGCAATCCTAACTTGATATTTCTCTGATCATTAAGAACAATACTTATTTAATACTAATTACTCTCACTTGAAGCAGCAGCATCACTAAGATAGTATATACACTGAAAGGTTTTTTGTTTTGCTGATTATAAATGTGGTCTCACTGCTCATTGAATCATAACAATTAAAATAACCCCTGTATTTTCTAAAGCTTGTGCAGGTTGAAAAGAACATCAACTAAGTTTGCTATATCATTGGGAATAATGTTATTGGGAAATAAATTTTAATATTTTAATAAGAATAAAAAGATATGAGCTCCTTGGAATTTCCTATACATCAGATACTTACATCTTCTATCAGAAGTAATGACTCTGCATCTGATTTTCCTGGAAACCGGATTTTCATGTCCTTGAGAACAAATAAGGTCTGACTTGTTAGATCATCTTCCTGTTCTTTTGTTCTCAGTTGCCGCAAAGACTCACTCTTAAATTTGAAAGAATACAGATATTTGGAGGGGGTCTTATTTCATTGTGCCACTATAATCTGAAAGATATTTCTAGGTAAAAATGATGCATTTTCAATTTTAAAAAAAATGAAAAAGGAAAAAAAACATGTTGATGTTTATTCTTAGGATTAAGTGGATATGATTTCCCAAGAATGTCTTTTACACTTTTACACAGTTGTATTTTATTTAGCTCAAAATACCAGAATAAAAATACAAGTGTTTAAAAAAGACTTCCTAGTCAGTTTCATGTACTGGATACTACCTGTACCCAGGCAATTCTTGATTAGAAAAAAAATCATGGATTGTACTAAGTGAAATTCATTTACTTTCATTTTCCAGAATTTTCCCTTTGGAAACATCATCCACATTAAATAAACAATTTAAATAAAGTACTGGCCTATGGGTAAGCCTGGTTGCAAAATAAATTCACTGAATTTTTCAATACTGAATCTCTACGACTCATGCTAATGAGGAAATACTGTAAGTTACTCATGCTAATAAGGAAATACTATAAGTTAATATATAGAAAACATTATAAACAATGTTGCATTTCAATGTTCTAAGAATTTATCAATAGTCTAATTTTTCTAACATATTAATCAATAGTCCCATTAAGGAAAATTTTCCATAAAACAAATTTCTCTAAATTTACACATATACTGCACAATACACTGCAAAATCATGTTTACTCAGATGATTTTCAACAAAATTGTAGTATTCCATCAGCAAATGGAAAATAAAATGCTATTCTGTGTCTATCCTCATATATAATTCTGTAATACAGTGAAGTCTGCCTTATGAGAGTCCATACTAAATTATAGGCTAAGATGGATTAATAATTCAAGTGTCGGGAGACTGTGAGTTAAATTATTGAAAGGATCAGAGGTTCTATCTGTCCTCCTCCCGGCTATACCTTTGCTACCTAAATCCTGAGTGTAGCACTTCCTGTAATGTCAGAGGAGCAAAAGAGATGACTTACCATCTGAGAGTTAGTAGAGGTGCCATCATTACTGTGAGGCAAATATCTCATGTAGGAGGAAACACGGTTTAAAGAATGTGACCGAGACCCTGAAGCCGGCCCGGATGCTGATACCATTTGCTGAGCAGAAAAGGGGCGGCTGTCCACAACAGAAGGTGACTGGGAAGAGATGGACCGAGGGCAACTGACAGAACGCCTCATAGAGCCTATCAATGATGAAGAAGAGGGATAGTATTGCAGCAGAGTTAGCAGAAGTCCCCCACGGTATCGGGTCTATATAAACTAACGATTAGACCACAAGGTGGCGGGGTAGCAATAAATATCAAAGCATCGGCAGCATCATGAGAATATGAATCTGGAGTTAATGCTTCAATGTAAACAGTGAGCATGGCACAGGACCCTTACCATGTATAAAGAATGACTACTATGAGAATAAAACTAAAATAGTACTTTAATGTTCTGTGCTTGAAACATGATACAAAAAAAATAAGAAGAAAGGAAAAGTAATGTTTATGGAACACCTTCATAAAGACAGGAATTATGCTGGAAGCTACACTTTTATCTTAATACTCCCAGAAACCCGCTGAAGTAGGAATCTCCATCACCTGGAGGCTCACAGAAAGAACTTCCTCAAGGTGACACAACAAGAAAGTGGCCAAGTTCAGGTTTAAATCCTGATGTTAAATCTAATGCCAGCGTCTTCCTTCTTTCTATAATACCATGATGCCATCTAGTTTCTTTGGAGTAGACTGGTAATTTATTAGAATCTTTGTATAGGTTATAAATAGTGCATTTTACAGCAAGATTCATAGGTAAAGATGGCAAGAAGTCGAAAGAATGGCCAGGATCAAAGGGTATTATATAAGTTAGGGGCTATGGAAAAAAATTAATAATAAAACAGAACATAAAGAGATTATCCTAATGGAGTTTAGACATATAATTGGCTATTATAAGAATTGTCCTAGATGATTTAAATCCAATAGTAAAAGAATTAGGTGAAGAAAAGAATGTCTGGATCTAAAGGGTTTCTATCAGAACAACTAGGGAAAACTATACAATATCTTCCCCAATACACAGAACATTTAAAGGAGAGAACCACCTGTTCCTGACACAGGGAAATTTTGACTCCTGACACAGGGAAATAGAATATTATTCAATATTATCAACATTTATATCACTGTTTAGTTCCTGCATTCTACATATCCTCTGTTCTATACTCTCTCTCTGCTTGGGAAATACATCAATACTCATCAATTTAATAATTTAATAAAAGTCACATGAAGGTGGGTTGAATACCCAAATATTTCTCTTTATTAGCTGTTGAAAAAACTTAAACCTTTATAAAGGCAATGAACATAAACCTTATATTTAGAGATGCATTTCTAAAGAATATTTTGAATAGATAATAAACTTAATCCTCCTCATTTGGCTCTGGAGAGTAAAAAAAAAGTATACTCATTGAAGGTATAAATGATGTTAAAAATAAAAAAAAACTTTCCATTTGTTTCAACAATTAACTCCCTCTGAACCTGGAAGTCACACCACGTTTTGAAAGGACAGTGCTTCTACAGAAGGGCTGTGTGGGGAACATGCTACTGGTCAATCCTCTACTAGAAAACACCCAAAAGTGTGTGCTACTGTGGACCCCCTGGCCCTGCTCTCTTTGAAAGGGTGATGGTTTACACATGTAAGCCTGATTATAGGTGCAGACAGAAAATTTCCTTTCTCTTGAATCCCCACAGATTCCCATTTTCCCCCTGCATACACAGGAAATGCAGACAGAATAAGCAAGTAGCAAGACTGCTGATATTTAGGTAGATTAAGGAAAAAAAGGTTGTAAATCACATACACAAATTACATGAGAAAAATATTTCATGTCGTTTTGTATGTGACTACCTATATCAAGCCAAAATATAACCTTGGGAACTATAACCAATTTGAATTTTCCAAATTAACTGTCCACAACAGGAAGTGTCATACATAATCTGGATTTTGTCCTCAGTCATCAGCACCACTTGGGAGAGAAAACTCAAAGAGGGTTTGTGACTATGATATTCCTTCATGTAACATAATGAGAGAATTGGAAGCAAATAGAAACCTTTGTGTGATTCCTAATAACTGTAAAAATAAAACGTAATAAGGAAAAAGATATGTAATTGAATTAGGCTAGCTTTAAAATGTAAATTCATACTCCAAAACATTTTGAGTACACTATTTGTCTGATCTCAATTTATTGACCTATTGGTCTGAGAACAAGGAACAATCTCAGAGCTGTAGGAACCTTAGAATTTTTTCCCAACCTCACCCTCATCCTCCGTCAGTTCATGCTCTTAAGGATGCACACAGTAGTCAATAGGAGAGGGGCTTAAAAACTGATGAAATTGGGGCAGGACGATGTCAGCTTCCAAAACAGAAACAGGGCCTATTTACACAAGTAAGCACCTAAGATGTCTTTAAGAAAAAATAGAAATAATTGATAAAATAGCTTACAAACTATGGATCAAGTGCTTAATAAATGTATCTTAAATGAGTAAACAAACAAATGAAATGGGGCAAAACACATTATTTCTTCTCCAAACACATAACCCCTCAAAGACAGGAACATTCTTAGCATGTATATTTATGGAATAACCTGGAAGTAAAAGTAAAACCATTAAGAACCTATTCTGCATTTCTCATGTATTTTGCTACAAATGTGGATGGCCAGGTTTAAAATACACACATTACCAGGAACTACCACATTAAACCATTTCTGGAGATCAACAAAGGCTCACAATTGCATTTACTGCATGACTGAACCGGTCCGTTTAGTGGAGTCCTAGAACAAAGGAGGACAAGGTGCAGTTGGGAGAGACAGGAGCCGGAAAAGCCTGCATGGAGGCAGCCTCAGGAAGGGTGTGCAGCTGCACCCAGGCACACAGCAACACCATGCCAGACACTCGGGGACAGAAGAATCAAGGACATAGCAGTGGGCATTTGGGATTGGAGGAGGAATGAAAGACAGGAGAATGGAAGAGAGAGAAAATGTGAAAAGGCAGAAAGAAAAAATGGAGCCAGAAAGGAAGGCAACAGAGAAGCTGGGTGGTAACTCTTCTGAATGATTCTATGCACCAAAGCCTGGACTGAAGTGCTTACTTGTGACGAAAATGGGTGGGAACAAAATTTTAAATATTTCACAATTATGTGTCCCACAGATACATGTTCAAGTCAAATGCCTAGAGAGTACACGCATTTTTTTAAAAAGGCGAGAATATAAAACAAAATGGGTGACAGAGAGGTAGGGAAAGTAGGGGATGGAGTGAGAGTATATTGGCTTAAACAGGAAACCAAACAGTAGATCAGCCATGAGGCACATTTTATAAAACCCAGGCAAAATGTGAGTTAACAAGAAGTATGAAATACAGAAGAATGGACAATTGAGATCTTCAATTCAACTTTTCTCTATTCTACCTTCAGACCTAAAAGGGATTGCAGGACGCATCCAGGTCTGCCTAGGGGAGAAAGGAGGATGGAGTCCAGGTCGCCTCACACACAACAAGTGTTCATGTGGCCCAAGATCTTTTTATTGAGCTCAATAATTTCAGTTCCATAATTCTTCATATAAGAACTAAACTAGAAGAAATTAACTTACAGGATGGTTGAGTTAATTTGCAGTGGCTGGACTGTCTAAGATTACATGTGACTTGTTTTTCTCTTTCCTCACGTTGGTTTTCTTCCTTTTCATCATCTGATTCTGAACTGCTGCTGCTCTCATCACAGCTGCTGTCGCTACTGCACACCTTCCACCTCTTCATTTCCTCGGTGCTCTCAGGCATGGACAACAGAGGCTGAAATGGAAGGAAGTGTGCTATTTTGTTGGATTTCAAAGGAAAGGCTTACTAACATGGTTAGTTACGGTTTTTAGTCTCCCACTTACGCTTGCTGCTTTTCACTAGAACCTGAAAATCTCCTGAATTGCTACAGTACATCCGTGAGCCTCCCATGCTGTTCCCTAACGTTCAGGTTCTGCAAAATAGTCACTCTTAAACGCTATAGCTCAGTCATGATGAGTAAAATGCACTTTCTGCCTGATTCAAATAAAGGACCAAAGCATTCACAAAGAATGAATAATATAATAAAGGAAAAGTATTTGAGATAAAAATATAAAATCAGAAACATGATCAATTTTTCTTCATTCCATACAGAGATACTCTCTACTCATCAAAACTCAGAGATGATCTGTTACGTCATTAATGTTCAGGGTCAGCCCATAAACGCATGTGTGTACACATGCGCATGCACATGAGAGAAACAGAGGAGTGCAAGGAAGAACAAGAGATGAGAAAAGAGTAAGAAAGTAGCAGCCAGATAAATTACTGTAAGATAAAACCTGAAAGTAAGATAAAACACTGTAAGTAAAAGCCACATCTTGAAACAGAGCCTATGAGCCTAACCATTCAGATAATGTGCAAAAAGAAACAAGGTATTCCTGACATGTCTAATTCACTATGGATATTTTTACAAGCAACAATTTTTTAGCTAATTATCCACTCTCCAAATTGGTTATGAACAACTCATGTCTTTTCTGGGAGGGTCCTAACTCTGACATAAGAGTGCAATATTGCCTTCTATCATCTGAGCTACTTAAAAAAGTGACAAAATGTAAAAATCAGCATATCATGAGCTTTTCAGAGGATAGGTGCCATGAAGAAGGGTAAATATGTCAAGGTGCAAAAGGTCACAGTCTTATGTTCCATTATCTCCATTAGAATCACTTGTCTTCAAGCCTCCCAATCGGTAGGTTTCCAATGACACTGGCTGAAAGGATAAAGGATAACGGAAGTGGGACAGCTTCACTTCAGAATGTGCACAATCAACAATGAGCAAGTGTTGTAACTTAGCCATTTTAAGAGACTACTTATTACACACACCATATGTCTCTTACTCCTGCTGGGAAAGGTTCCTCCTACATTTGTATACTAGTTTCCTTTTCTCTGATAAATAAAAAAAAAAAAATGTTTGATGTTAGCACACGCCATAATGAAATCCTTAGTTACTATGGGATTTCACTGAAATAGGGTGTAACAGTGTAGGATGAAAGGTGAAGAAAGAAATAGAATTTCATGATGTGTCTGGAATACATAGTAAGCCAAAGCATGATCTTTTTAAAGTTATCATTTTTGCAAAAGATAAGAAATAACCAAAGCAGGAAAGTAATTTAATACACTCAGGTACCAACTTGTGTTTAAAAGTATGTTCTCCTCTTGAGAGTCTAGGACTTACGGAGCACTAACAATGTCCAAAGAGATATTCATTAAAACATTAACATTCATTAATACATTCTTCAGGAGTCTAGCATGTCCTGAAGAAACTGGCATGACTGGGCTTGCTAGTAGGGCCTTCCTTCATGTAAGCCAATGGTTTCTTAAGGAACTTGCCTACATAATGAGTTATTTGATCCTCTGAAGAATCACTGGATAAATGGATGGCTGAACCTTTGTGTCATACATGCATTTTGGGCTTTTTGATCAATATACTGTTCAGGCATAATTAATAAGAAATCACAGCTGCATAAACTCTAAACAGTGCCATAGATACAAAATGGAATTTGTAAACTGGCATTGAATTATGACACAAACCACATTACTGATTTTTGTGTCAAATTTTATTATGAACTGGGTCATATATAAGAAAATACATAAATGGCAGGAAGAATAACAAAACCAATACCCACGTACCTACCTCTCAGCTGAAGAAGCAGAACAATGCTTTACATGGTATTTATTATTTATGTAGCTAATTAGTATTTCTTAGATTCCAAATAAGTGAAAAGGTATTATTTCTCTTAATTGTGCAGCTTTCAACCACTTTCAAATATTGCTGATGTTAATTAACTACAGAAACAAACCAATTTGTTTCATTATAATATATACATATTAGTACCTGCTACTTGCCTGGAATAAGAGGGCTTGAAAAAAATACACAATGTGAATTCTGCCTTCCAGAAAATTAGTTTTACTTACATGGTAAGCTTTATTTGATGAAGCAAAGGAAAATATAAGACAGTGAAGGCTGTCTCAAGGCTTTGCATTAGCCATTTTGACTTGCAACTGGGGCTCCCCACTTGTCTCATACCTGGTTTGCTGAATTGCAATCATCAATATATAAAGCTGAGAAGCTGCACAATGTTTCCAAAGTGAAGCAACAATGAATGAATGTATTCATTTTTATAAATACTCCAAAATATATTTGTTCAAAAGGAATTATCAACAATAGCTTCCACAATTCTTCAATATAGAGCACATACTTCAGAAGAACAGTGCCTGACATCCAAGGGCTCTGGGCTTCACCCGGTATGTGTCTTTCACCAGGTTCATCTTGTACCACTCACTTTACATGAATCTTCCACTTGAATCATACCAAATTCTTTGTTATTTCTCCAACATCCTATGCAAGGTCACATCTCCATGTCTTTGCCTTTTATGTTTCCTCTACCCCAAATGCCTTTCCACCCCTCTTAACTGTTTAAAGCACTTCTCACTTTTCAAGACCCATTTCAAATGGCACTTCATTTGTGAAACCATCCATGGTTTACCAATCCCTTTCTTCTCTATGTTGCTGTCGTACTTTCCACTGTTTTTATTGTAGTATTTGCTATAATCTACCTGGGTTTTTGGCTGGCTATCTGCTCTTCCACTAGCCAATGAGGTCCTGGTGGACACATTCATCATATTTAACTACTGGTTTCTAAAAATCTACTAAGTGCAAACTACTGCTGAAAATCTACTAGGTGCTGAAGGTTTCTGTGCTGGGTGCCAGGACTTTGACATAAACAGAGAACATATGGATGTCATCACCACAGAGATGAGAGTAAAGCAAACACCTGCCCATTTTTGCCTGCATGACAGCTTTCTATTTATTTCTAGAAACTGTACCTTTTTCAATGCAATTTCAATCTCGCTGTGTCAGCAAAAGACAGACTCAACATTAAGACCTCTAGAGTCATGATTTGCCTTATCTATAAAGCTACATGTCTCTGTACATATAGGGATATGAGGAAAACTTAACACTAAGTTTAGAATAAGGGCACTGGCTCTAGGTTCCTCTTGACTCTGACTCATAGGGCTTCCACTGCATTAAAGAAAGAATCAGAAAATGAGAGAAATAGAACAAAATTAATTTCTCCTGAGTGTAAGATAACATCATCTTCCCAACTCTATCTGCACTGAACCCATAGTCCATATAGTTCCTTGAAAATGATATCAGTCGCTCCAACCATGAGAAATATAAAGGAAAAATCAACTGTACATTGTAGTATCTACTTTAATACTAAGGAGGGAAAGGTACTGCACCTTTGGTCCTCGAGGCTTGGCAGTTTTGCCCATCAACTTTTCATCATCAATTTCACATTGTTCCAGAAGATCCAAAATATCTTCCTCCTTAAAAAAAATATTTAATTAAAATTGTCATTACTAATGGGCTCTAGCATTTTTTCAAGTTCCATAATCTTCATCAGATAGTGTACATTCCTAAAACTATTTAATGAAGATTGCTCAAATCAAAGAGAAAGGATCATGGCAAGCTCTCCTGAGGAATTTTTCACTAAAATCTCACAGTATAAATAATAAATAGCTGAAATCTATTATGCATTAACTATCATAAACAAATGTATCCTATGTTCTAGTATACTAATCAAATCCTAGAGCACAATACTTCAATAAATTAACCTATTGAACACTTAAACATTTCTAAAAGGTCACTCTAATTTTCCATGCCACAATTTCATCAATCACTTCTATATTGATTAGTGCAAAATACTAAAACATCAGACAGAAAACTGATGATTGGCTTAGTTGTTGCATTTAGAACAATCTAATGTTAATATTTGGTTAATGGATATAATTTAAAGAAACTCTTTCAAAATTTTAACTACTGCACAGGAGTACCTTTAGAACTTTACGAAAGGTTTTCATTCTACACCTAATACCTTTTCTTACACTCTCCTAGAGTCACTTTGAAAACAAAGGGAAAGTTATAAAAATATATATCCAAGCAGATGTTCAGCAAACCAGAACAGGATAACCACTATACTTAAGAGGTATAAACAATGGCTTCATTGGGTATTTATTCATCCCATAAAAATAACAAATCTTTAAAAAATAATAATAATAATAACATCTTTGTTTACATATTTCTGATTTATATTTCAGTGTCTTTTTTTAAAAAAATATTTTTGAAGAAACTAGAAATCTCACTGTGCAATGGAAATTTATGAAATATGTTACTCTTCATCTCAATCTAAGAAAGTTTAGCTAGTAAAGCACTAAAAGATTCTTGTTATAAAGTTCTGGTTAAATAATATTCCACAATAAATTCCAAGGGCAGGAGCACAAGATAGTTAAAAAGAAACTCAAGAAGTTCTGTTTCTGTATAGGAGAAAGAAGGTTATAATAGACAACACTTTCATCATAACAACTAGAAAAAGACATAAACTAAGCAATCATATTTGTTAAGATATCAGAAAGCTGGGGATAAAAAGTAGTATAAATGGAATGAAACACCAGAGAGGAAAAGTTCTTCCTAGGTGAACAGAGATGAGTGGCCACTTCCTACTTTGGGGTCATTTGTCAACTCTGGATAACAGGTGGATAGAGTTTAGGGCTATATAGGCTGAGATATTTTCCTGAAATAGAGAATCCAATGGAGTTCTCTATGATCTTGTGGGCTAGTGTGACATTTAGAGGAACCCCACAGAGCTGGTTCTTTTCACCTGTTGGGTCTCTCCAATAGCATTTTAGTGAATAAGTAGTGGAGTAGGAGGATTGAGGAATGGATGGAAAGTCAGAAAGACTTCTCTGTAGTCTTATAGTTCTTAGATACCAATAGAAAATGAGGCCTGTAATCGATAGATTTCACCTTCAAGGCATTTGGAACCAGAAATAAACTAAAATAAACTACTACAGCCCAACCTGGATCCAGTTCAACCTTTCCTTAATTTTGCTTTTTTTAATTGAAATATCTTTGACATACAGCATTATGTAAACGTAAGATGTACAATATGTTGATTTGATATATTTATATATTTAATATGATTGCCATTATAGCAATAGTAATCTCCTCTATCATGTCACATAATTATCATTTCTTTGTTGTGATTGGGATAATTAAGATCTAGTCTCTTAGGAAGTTCAATCATTATAATACAATACTGCTGTCTCTAGTCACTACCCTGGTCATTAGATCTCTAGGACTTGTTTACTAGTAGTTGCAGGATTGCGCCCTTAAACATCTCTCCTATCCCCCTAACTCCTAGCCCTGGTAAATCACCATTTTTCTGTTTTTATGAGTTTGGCTTTTTTAGGTTCCACATATACGTGATATCTTACAGTACTTGCCTTTCTCTGTCTGATTTATCTCACTTAACATAATGTCCTCAAGGCCCATCCATGTTGTCACAAATGGTAGGATTTCTTTTTTTCTTGTGGCATAATATTCCAGTGTGTGTGTGTGTGTGTCACTTCCTCTTTACCCATCCATCCATTGACAGGCACGTAGGTGGTTGCCACATCTTGGCTGCTGTGAATAACGCTGCAGTAAACATGAGTGCATTTATCTTTTATATCCTAATTTCCTTTGGGAATATACCCAGAAGTGCAGGTGCTGGACCATATGGTAGATCTATTTTTTATTGTTTGAGGAATCTCCATATTGTTCTACATAGTGGTTGAACCAATTTACATTCCCACCAGCAGTGTACAAGGTTCCCTTTTCTCTGTATCCTTGCCAACATTCTTATCTCTGGTCTTCCTGATGACAGCCAGGTCACTGTGGCTTCGATTTTCATTGAAATTACTGATTAGTGTTGTTGAGCATATTTTTCATGGGCCTGTTGGCCAGTTTGATGTTTTCTTTAGCAAAATGACTATGTAGTTCTCTTGCCCATTTTTAAATCAAATTGTTTCATTTTTGTTATTGAGTTGTATTGTATGAGTTCCTTCTATATCTTGGATATTAACCACTTATCCTATATATGGTTTGCAAAATTTTCCCCCATACTGTAGTTTGCCTTTTAATTTTGTTGATATTTTTTTTCTTTTGCTGTGCAGAAGCTTTTAAATTTGATGTAGTCCCATTTGTTGGTTGTTGTTTTATTAACTTTTGTTTTAGCTCAAAGTAATCAGCCCCTCAACCCTAGCACCCTGAAATAAAAAAGATATGCCTTCTTTTGGAGAAAATATCTGTTAAATTTTTATGATTTTTTTAATAAACAATATCTATTGAACAAATAAAAATTACAGAACAGACAAAATAAATAGAAAATGTAGCCTATAATCAAAAGGAAATAACATTAATAAAAGCAGGCCCATAAATGATCCAGACATTAAAATGAACAGACAAGGATTTTAAAATAACTACTGTATACATGTTAGATGTTAAAGAAAACTGAAAAAACAAACAAATCAGAGGTGCATAATTTCAATGAAGAAACAGAATTTTAAAATCCAAATGGACATTCTTGAGGTGAAAAATATAATCTAAAATTAAAAAGTGATTGGATAGGCTTAATAGCAGACAAAACAGCAAAGACATGTCAGTGTATACTACCTAAATTGAAGCAGAGATGAAATAAAGAAAAACAAAATAGAGATCAAAGATACATGTCATGATGTCCAATGATTTATGTGAAATTAAGAGTCCTACAATGAGGCAATATAATATAGCAGAAATACCTGAAGAAATAACAGAGGAGAATTTTCCAAAACCAATGAAAGACATTAACCCACAATTTTAAGAACTTGAGAAAACCTCAAGCAGGGTAAATACTTAGAAAATCAGGTAGAGACACATCAAAGTCAAAATGCTGAAAACAAAGAAAAAGGCAGTCAGGTCAAAAGACATTACATTCAGAGGGAAAACAAAAATAATGATGGCTGAATTCTGAACAGAAGCAAGAGAAACCAGAAAATACAGAAATGACATCTTTAAAGTGTTGAAATAAAAAAAAGGCCTGCCAAAGTAGAATTCTATATCTACTTAACCTACCATTTAAAAATGAAGGCAAAATAAAATTTCAGACAAAAATAATAATAAAACAGAGAATTCATTACTATCACATGCTACAAGGAATATGAAATACTAAAGGGAGTTTTCAAACTGACGGAAGATGACCTTTGTCAGAAACATGAATCTGCATGATGGATGAAGAGCCCAAGAAAAGGTTAATATGTGAATATATGAAAGGCTATTTAGAAGACTATTAGAAACTATTTCTAAAGGCTAGTTAGAAAGCTATTTAAACTATTAAAATTATTAAGCATGTTGACTGCTTAGACAACAATAACGAAAATGTATTTTGAGGTCTGTAGCATATATAAAAGTAAGATATATGATAATAGCACAAAGTCTGGAAGGAGGCACTAAATGAAACTAAACTGTTATGGGCTTTGTATGGTCTGTGAAGTGATTAAATACTAATTCAAGGTAGACTATTATGATTTAAAGATGCATATTGTAATTTATTTAAAAAAAACATGGACAACAAATATAACTAAAAGCCAATAGAGAAGATAAAAAAGTATTTAAAAAATTGACTGTTGTAAAATAATAAAGGAAGGGTGCAAAAAAGGAACAATGGACAGATGGGATAGAGAACAGAGAGCAAGATAGAAGACATAAACCCTACTATATGAGTAATTGGGTGAAATGATTAAAAAGTATCACAGTGAATTTTAAAACAAATATGACCCAACTACATGCTATTTAACAAAGATACTTTAAATATAAGAACATAAAGTTGAAAACATATATTAACATAGGTTAATAACAGAAAACATAACTTAATATAGATTAAGTTAAATGGATGGAAAGGATATGTCATTCAAACAGCAACCATAAGGAAGAAGCTAGCCCAGCAATATTAATGACACAAACTAAATTTTTCAAGACAAGAAATACTACCCAAGAGAAAGATAAAAAATTCATAATGATGAAATCGAAAGGATGAATTCAATTCATTAGAAAGGTATCTTCATAACTTCAAAGTACATGTAACAAAAATTGACAGAACTAAATGCACAAGCACAGTTGGATGTTTCAACAAATCTCTCAGTAATTGCTAGAACAAGTAGGCAAAAAAATCAGAAAGGATATAGAATATTTGAACAACACTAAGAGCCAAATTTACTTAAATCACATGTGTAAAACTCTATAGCCAACATCTGTAGTATACACATTATTTTCAAGTAGACTTGGAACATTCACTAAAATAAGTACTATATCAACTTAAAGCAAATATCACTTCATTTGACAAGATTGAGATCAGAGTATGTTTTCAAACAATGAACAAACTAAAAATCCTTACTACAAAACTAGGAAATTTTAAATGTATGTAAATTAACTAACAAACTTCTAAATAACCAGAATCAATATCAGAAAATAATATGAAATGGCAGTTAATAAAAATGTAGTATATAAAAATTGTTAAAGATATAGCAATATTCACAAATAATCACATTTGCCTCCTTGCAATGTTTAAAAATGGAAGAAAAATTTTAAATACATTATCAGCAACTTGTAGCAAAACCAATAAATACTTAGGAATATATTCAATGAAATGTGCAAGAACTATACCCCCAAAACTACAAACATAGCTGAGTAATCAGAGACTCAAGTAGATGGAAAGATATGCCATATTAATGGATCAGAAGACTCAGTATTATTAATTCCCCAGAAATTGTTGTATAGATTCCTCACAGACCCAATTAAAATCTCAGCAGCTTTCTTTTATGATCAAAAAATTAATCAAAATTTAGAATAAAGTTGAAGTGTAAAAGGACCTAGAAAAGCCAAAAGAATTTGAAAAAGAAGAACAAATTGGAGAGCTTACACACAACCTGATTTCAACAATTACTATAAAGCAACAGTAATGAATATAGTGTGATATTTGTATAAGATTAGGCTCATACAGGTGGAGAAAGATAAGTGCCAAATGGTTTCTCTCATTTGTGGATTATAACAACGAAGCAAAACTGAAGGAACAAAATAGCAGCAGACTCACAGACTCCAAGAAGGGACTAGTGGTTACCAAGGGGAGGGGTGTGGGAGGGCAGTTGGGGAGGGAGGGAGAAGGGGATTGAGGGGTATTATGTTTAGTACACATGGTGTGAGGGGTCACAGGGAAAAGTGTAGCACAGAGAAGGCAAATAGTGAATCTGTGGCATCTTACTACACTGATGGACAGTGACTGCAATGGGGTAAGGGTGGGTACCTGATAATAAGGGTAAATGTAGTAACCACATTGTTTTTTCATGTGAAACCTTCATAAGAGTGTATATCAATAATACCTTAATAAAAAATTTTAAAAAATAATAAGTCATGGGGATGTAATATAAAAATAAAAGAACAGGCTCATAGAACATGGCAGGAATAGGGCAGGAAAAGTAGTGACATTTAAGCTAGAGTTTGAGGATTAGAAGGAAAAAGGGAATTAAAATTTGAAATCTATTTTAAAGTACTATGTGCAAAGTACTTTAGATTATTTTAATTAACCTCAATTTTATGTTCATAACCAGTCTATCAAGTATAGTTTTAAAACTACTATTGTAATGATGAGAAGATTTTGATCAAAGACTTTAAGCTAAGTTTACAATATTAGCAATGGGGGAGCTGGAATTTGAATTTAGGTCTGTCTGGCTTCAAAATCCCTAGTTTTTCTAGAAGAAAAAGTGGGGACGGGGGAGCTGAGTAATGAGAAGATGAGCAGTTGCTATGTCCACAGGAGAGAGAAGTAACTTAAGAACATATGAAGAAAAGGAGCAAAGGTCTCTCACAACTGGGCGAAGAAAAAAAAAAAGGGGGGCCACAATATAATTCTAATGGTGGAAACACTTACACATGTCAGAAAGGGTTATTTGAAGGAAAAGAGCATTGGGGTATACAATATTCCTTCGGCTTCTGTCTCTTAGGCCTAGCCAGCTTGAAAGTGGATTTGTATACTTCTGTTGCAGAATTTGAGTAACAGAACCATAGTAAATTCTATCTACAAAAAAGTTTATTGTGATTTTGAATCACTCAGTATAACAGGGTATCCGAGAAACTGGGGATACCACAGTAATATGTCCAGTAATATGTATTACAAACAGTTTAAAAGGCCCACATAGTTATTTGTCCAATGAGATATTAGTAAGCATGATGCAAACAGAAGCTTCATTAGCATGTACACACTAGGCTTGTCCTCTTGAAATGCTCTATTTTGGAACCACATGCTACCTTATTAAGAGATCTTTTATATATATATATATATATATAGCATATATATATATATTTGTGTGTGTGCATATATATAATATATACTGTCAACATATAGATAGATAGATAGATAGATAGATAGATAGATAGATAGATAGATAGATAGATAGATATACATCCTGCTGAGAGACGATGTAGAACAAAAGAGGCACCAGCCAGCTCCCCAGATGTTCCAGCTATCTCAACTAAAGCATCAGATATGGGAGCGAATCCAGTTTGGAATTCCAGCCCCAGCTGAACTCTTAGATAAATACAGCTATATGATTCAGCTCAAGCAAGTCCAATAGACGAACCAATCAGCTGAGCCCAGTCAAGACTGCAGCAAAATGAACAAATAAATGAAGTGGTTTATTATGCTGCAATAGATAACTGATAGGCCTTTTAAGTAAACAGATTATTCTGTGTGCATGTTTCAATTACTTTTCAAATGCCAGGTTTATGCAGTACCAGGGCAAAAAAAATACTATGCAATGTTAGTTACAATCCAAATAAAGAGAAAAATCACAAACTATTAAGTTAATTCAGTGGATTTTTTAATTCAGTTGCATATACACATCTCTGTAATAAGATATTTGTTGCAATAGATTGATATTACCACATAAATCAACATTTCCTACTACATAATGTCTGAATATACATAGATAACATCTTATGTATAAAATCATTTGGTTCATTATGAAATATTACCATTGTTAAAATGGAAGGAAAGTGCATCTTAAAAGTAAGATGTTTTTATATGTGAGACTAAGGTGGGTTGTTTTTAAAGACATATTGCTTGGCTTCATTCTTTTTCCTCTTTATAAACATTCATTCTTACCTTCATCCTTTTCAAAGGATTATTCAGCTCTCGCTGGAATAAAGCTGCTCTTCCTGAAAGGAAGGTCTGAAAAGCAACAGCCAATAAATTTTCATACTTTTCAAGTAGTGTTTTATCTTCTGGAGGATAAATTCGCCTACAATAAAATCAGATAAAGCAAATTGTTTAAAAGCTAGATTGCAAAAGAGTTAAGGTCAACTACACAGATAATCCTTAACAATCTACTCAGTGCCAGTTACTTTAGTAGACACTAGAAATAAAGGTAAATACAGTTATGAGAAATTCATAAATTTTCATTTGTTATCCACACAAATTAAAACATATCTAGAGAATTATCACTAACCACCACAGTTACAGAAGGTACAGTAGAAGGGTTTGGTTTGGGGGACATGGTTGGAGAAGAACTGCAACTGAGCACACTGGAAAAATATAGAACTTTATGGGAGATAACTTTATGGAGGGTAATTTGGAAGTTTTGGACTTAGTGCAGTTCCTGAAGTATACAAGAATGTAGGGATTGAGCTCGATGATCTCTTTGTGTGTTGGAATTTGCCTCTTTTGTAGGGAGAACTGGGTACAGGTAGGAGGGAGGAATGTGTTCTCATCACTGCTCTTGATAGTGTTAAGACCAGGAAGGAACACCTTACCAGGAGTGCAAGAAGCTCTATGGGCCCAGATCCTCCCAGTTCTGCTGAGTCAGGGTCAGAGACCAGGACAAGGGCAATCTTCCCAAGAACATGAGCTTGGGGGAAGGGCAAGGGAGGAGGGAAGGGTTCTCCGTCCACCCTGTCAAAGGTTACAACCCTGTGGAGGGTTCTAATTCAGCAGAGTCCACACTCCTCTCTATTGTCCTATAACTGGCTCCTTCACACATTGTCATTCTTTGCCTGGTCCCTGATACATTTGAATTTAAAGCAAAGTGCAGCAACCACTGTGAGTTGGCAGAAAGAATACTAGGAGACCTGAAACCTGACTTTCTCAAAAGGACACATTATATCCAAATAAAGTCAGAGGATAATACCGGCCTTAAAAGTCCTCATACAATCACCCTTGTGGTGGGCTAGCAGGAGCTCCCCCAAGTCTGAACCAGCTACTTGCTATCTTTTCTTTCTGGAAAGATACTAAACAAAGAGCATTTCCTCAGAATGACATAAACAGTGTTTGCAATAAGCCTAAAAGATTAAAAATGTAAAGAATTGCTTTGACACTTTATGTGTTCAATCTACACAGAAACAGAAGCACAGTTACCTATAATTCCCCATGTGCCGATTTTCATGTTCTTCTTTCAAGATCTGCTTTCGTACTTGAGCGAGTCTCTCTTTCTAGAAACAAAAAATCTTACAAATAAACCTGATAAACAAATTATGCAATGCAAATTGTGGGTACATTATTAAAATTTTCATACCAACTCTTCTTTCCGCCTTTCCAGCTGATGTCTCTGCTGTTCCCAGTCTGAGGAACCTGGTAAGAGCCTTTTCATTGAATTTTGACCATAAAGCCTCCTTTGAGCCTCAGCTTTTTGTTTGGCTAAGTTTCTTCTTTTATCACTGGTCCTAAAATATAAAACACAAGACTCTATTCTAGAATTCAAATATGCTCTGATCTTATCCTGTAAGGAGAATTAGCAGAAGAGGAGAGACAGTGGGGACAGGAATAAATATTTATTAAGTTTATATATAAACATACATTATATTCATTGCATCATCCACAAGGAGGAGTCACCATATATTAAATAGAAGTTCTGAAGGTAACAAGATAAAATGGAAACTGCAAAGCAACTTACTCGCTATACAATCTTAGGTCACTCAACTGCTGAATGTTTCCCCATCTATTAAATGTTAATAATAATGTTTCCCCTAGAGTTCCTATAAAGATAAACTTGTGGTAATACTAACAGACCCTTAATAAATGTTAGTTCCTTTCTCCTCCTTCAACCACTTCCATTTATATTTAAGCATTCTCTTAAACTGACCGTCTTTTAATTTTCAATTCTGACTGAAATCCCAGCCTAACAATCATTATTTGATTGAAAACATTGGTACAGACCTTCTTGTTTTTACCCAATCATGAAAATTTGGTTCCAGCTGTCTGATTTTTATGTCTTGTTGTGAGATTGTTTTCCTCTGACCTCTATTTTCTCTCTTCCCTCCCATGCGGCTGGTGCAATAAGAGAAGCCTGGGAGACGTCTTTTCTCCCCATGCCCTCCAACTTGCCCTCTGACACACCATCCTTGGAAGTCATAGCAAGAGCAGATGGACTCCAGGAAGAAAAGGGAAGGCAAAGCCAACTCTGTCCTCAGCACTGGGAAAATCAGAGTTCTCATCCTCAAGTTTACATTTGAATCTGTCCATTGTCATCACCCTGGTGGGGCCCAAATGAAGGCGTAAACCAAAAGAAAGTGTCCAAGGAAGACACAAGCCAGCTTCTACTGCAGAGAGGCAGAGGGAGTGCCAGAGTTTACATGCCGTCCCATTCACTTCATCAGGAAATTGCATTGAGAATATGGGGCCAGGTCCTAAGTAACAGAGAGTGCTCTTTTGCTTCAAGCATGTACCATCCTCACAAGTTGAACATGCAGGAGGGTTAAGAAACATATCTATTCTCTTTCAAGATGACACTGAGGTTTGAATGGCAGGAGTTCAACAGGTAGGGTGGAAAGAATCATTTGAGAACAAGAATTAATGCATCCAGAAAATTGCAAGTCATACAGTACAGCACGAGCTTGGGTGACTGCAAGAAACTCAGCTAGTTCTGATAGCTTTAATACTAGGTTATGAGTCTCAAATTGAACTTTAGGCAATGGGGTAGGGGGAGTGTGAACTTTAAAAGGAGAAAGACATAATTATATTTGCATGTTTTAAAGTTTATGCCTTTGGCAATATGTACAGTGGCTTTGAAGTGGATGAAAAAAGCAGCAGGCAGTTAAGATGGTGTTATCGTCTAAATGTGTCGCCCCAAAATTCATATATTGAAATCCTAACCCCCGAAGGTGATGGTATTAGTCGGTGGGGCCCTTGGGAGGTGATTGGGTCATAAGGGTACACCCCTCTTGGAGGGGATTAGTGTCTTTATAACTAAGGCTCCAGAGAGTTCCCTGGGCCCTTCTACCATATGAGGACGCGATGAGAAGTCTGTGGCCCAGAACACGGCAGGGCCCTCAGACAACCATGCTGGCACCCTCATCTTGGACTACCAGTCTCCAGAACTGTGAGAAATAGATTTCTGTTGTTTTTAAGATATTTAGTCTGTGGCATTTTGTTATAGCAGCCCTAACTGACTAAAACAGATGGTCAGCTATTTCATTAGCAAATATGAAATATGAGGCCAGGGAAGCAGCAGTGAGATGAGAAAAGGGAAAGACTTGAAATATTATTTTGGAGGAAAAATGAATGTGTTTCAGTGACTAAGTAGATGTGAGGAGTAAAAAGAGTGATTAACTTGGGATAACAACAAAATTTTGGATTTCAATGACTGGGTGATTGAGAATATCATTTTTTCAGTGATGAATACTGAATTTGGCTGAGTTTCCTCTGTTTAGGAAAGGAGGGAAATACCAAGGTGTAGGTAGGTCTTAATTTCTAATTCTTTTGATGTTCCATTTTATCTAGAATGATCATTTTCACATATCATCCAGTTGAAAGGAAAGAAAGGAGAGAAAAAGGAAATAGAAATGAAACAAATAGAGAGGAAGAAAGACCAAACAATCAATAAGGAAAAAAACTGGAAAAAGAAAGAAGAAACAGACCCAGGATTTGGGACTGTGGTGTCTGACTCAAAAATGATGCCATGAAGTGAATGAGATTGACACAGAAGAAAAGAGGACTGAGGCAAGAACACAGTGAAAAAATGACAAGTTGGGAGAAAAAAGAGGAAGTTCAAAGTTCAGTGAAGTCAGAGAACCGTATCAAAGAAAGCCAGTGAGGATAAATTTTCAACAAAAAATAACATTAAATGCTGCAAATGCCATATACCTGTAACCCATGAACTAGTAAGGGCAGGTCATCTAGTCTAATCTAATCTAACTGACAAGTATTTCATACCCACAGAACTGATAGGACTGTGATGTTCTACACTCTATTTTAATGATCATAATAGAATATTTCAGATGAAAAAAACGTTTTTTAAATATCTTTAATCATAAGCTCCTTCTTATGAACCCAGGAACACTGACCAGGAACATAGATTGGATTTTCCTTCTATTAACAAAATAATACACTTCTTTTACTTATTATTATTTTACTATTTATCATTATTTCTACTTGCTGTGCATAGAGCCCCTTTCATGATCTCTTTGCTCTGAAGATCCTAAGCCTACTGTTAAAGAAAATAATTTGAATTTGAACTCAAACTATACTGTGCCAGCCAGGTACAAAGGGGATCAATTCTGACCCTCCCCATAGGAAGTTCTGTATTCCCAGGGGTTGTGACAGAATACCCTGAGCAACCACATGCTTCTGGATTTTCTTAAGACTAAAAGTATATGTTTACAAAATGAACTTCGGGGTACGGAGCCATACTGTAAGTAAAGTATTGTATCAAGTATTGTGTAGGCTTAAAATACAAGTCTAACACATACATGTCCATGGGGCTCTCCATCTGGTTTAAGAAAAAAGTCCTGTCCATAACATAAGCTTCATTAATATATGCTCCAAATGTTACAGACTGTGTGAAATTCTCATAGTGAAACAACATTAAGAAAAATAAGGAAGTTAAAATTCCAACTCTCCCTTTGTTTTAAGTCTACAAACTTCTCACTGCTTGAATTCTATATACCTCACCATTAAAAAGACCAAAAACACCCATAAATGATGTCCTGAATTGGTACCAACCATCACTGGCAAATTCAAAAGACAAGCAGAAAAAGAAAAGAAAAGTAACACAAGGCCTACTGATACAATAATAGTAAATGCAAAAAAAAAAAAAAGAAGTATAGGCATATTGCTTAAATAATCTGAAATACTTGGTGTACTTTGTAAGTTAAACAAAAATTTCCCATTGTACATCTTTTTTTCTTTCCATTTATTCTAGGATAATTGGAATATTAGTAGAATTTAGGTAAATCAAATCTTTGATCAGGCAAAAGAAGGAGCCATATGAAAATTTCTGAACAAGTTTATATGTTGATCTCTGTTTAATGATGTTTTCCATAGTAAGCTGCTTCTCAACGAGGCATCTGAAAATGCTTGGAAAAATTTAAAATAAATTGCTTGGAAGTATGTCACAATCCTTCCAGAGCTTTTGAAATGACAATCAGAATCAACTGATATAAAATCCCTGAGTTTAAATGGTCTCACAAGTCCTTTAATCCAACACCCTAAACACTGTTTGAATACTTACAATGGCAGACAACTTACTACTTCATTGAGCAGTTCAGTTAAACATCTAACAAATTTTTTTCATAATGAGCCAAAAGCTTTCCCACCTAATAGTATCTGACATCCATGATCATGAACAAGCCTAATAATATTCCACTGAGCCAGCAATCCCTGGGCATATATCCAAAGGAATAGAAATCAGGATTTAAAGAGTATCTGCACTCCCATGTCCACTGCACATTATTCACAATAGCCAAGACATGGAAGCAACCTAAATATTCCTCAATGGATGAATGGATAAAGAAAATGTTGCTCAGGCAGCAAACAGAATTATATAGTTGGAAAACATCTCAACAGAAAGGTAGAAATCCACATTTGAGTATTTTTTTACTTCCCGGATGACCTCTCAGCTTTAGTTTCTTCTTGAAGATAAGGAAAATAATCCAGAGGGTTTCCTAAAATATTCTCCAATTCAACCTCATATTCTGTATTAAATAATTATACCAATATTATATTTAACCATACTTACTGTAAACTCTGAGTATTACATGAAGAGAGGGAAAAGCAGTGTGCAGGGGGTGGGGAAAAGATATTTTAAAAGAAGAAAAAAGAAATGGGTTTAAAGAATGGTATCAAAATTTAAAATGCAAAACATTACAAGCCAATCCCTGGTACAAATGATTGCTCTATGCCAAATATGGTGAAAAAATTCCACAAGGTTGAGGGAAAAAGTTACCTGATGTTTAGTAGCTTCAATGCATTTAGCAGCACTCCCCTTTTCACATCATAATCTATTTTCTGATCAGTACCAAAGCTCGGAGCTCGATTGATCTGAAATTTACAAAGAAAACAGTGAGAGTAGCTAAATACTGGCAGGTCATACATAATTAATCTAATATGGGGTCCTAATCAGTAGACAGACTCTACAGTAAAGCACAAAGCTCTACATGACAGATGACCCAGTTACCACTGCCACAGCTCCCTTCCTTTCCCCATCACCCTAAGTCAAGATGTTGCAAAGAACCGGCTGCTGTCCCCGCCCTCTTCCTCCAATGGGTTCGCTCAGGATCTTCAGCCAGTATATCTGTCGTCTCCCTCTTCCACTAACTCCAACTCATCACCCCATGCACTCTAGGTTCTAAGTTTAGGAAAGTTAAAAGAGAATCATCCTGACATAAAGGTTGGAAGACCAGTAATAACAACAAAAATAACCTAAGAAAAAATAATATTCATGTTATTAATATAGTAATAATTACATGCATGCATGTATTTAGCATATAGATATTATCAGTGACCTCTTCTCACTACTTCAGATCTTCTGGATGAATCTGTCTATTGCTACCTAAAAGATAAACATCATTTCTTACTACCTGGATCAAACAAGCACTCATCGATTTTCATTGGCAAAGGCACTGACTATAATAGTCAGAAGATACCATTAATGAGAGCTGCAGGATGACTTTCAAGAGCTTTGCTAACTGTAGAAGGACTCACGGGAATAAGTGAGTCACTGGTGGTGGTTCTAGTTTCTGACATCATTTCCAGGATTTCGTTAAGATGAAGTAGCAGTAGCTGTATCCACCCTGAAACCCATGACACAGCATACTACCACTTCAGGTATGGCAGTCTTTGTCTTTGCTGCTGTTGGGTTTTATTGTTATTGTTATGAGAATGTAGCTGGGAGGGCAGGTATTTAAGAAAGTGACTTATTCCAGTAACTCAGTAGGTCAGAACACTGTTGAGTTCCAAACTACAGCCTAGCTGCATGACCACCAACTAACTCCACAGGCTGTCTCAAAATTATGTGTGCTACTAGCCATAGAAGAGGGACATCTTACACAAATTCACCACCACTGGGGACAAGGTGACAGATGGCAAGCATTTTACAATGGGCAGCTTAAGGAAATAGCACACTAAGAAGTCATCCAGGAATACAAAGGCCTCTACTAATTATTAAATGTGGCACAGGATCACTGCAGAAAAATTAGCAAATAGAAGCTAAACCAACAACAGAAAAATCACCTATAATCCCACTACCTCGTATATTATTAACCATTTAATAAATGGTATTTCAAATATTTGCTATGCATACTTATTTATAATATTCATTTTCCCTTTCCAAATATATCTATACAAACCATAGTATTTTACTCTTAACAATGTACCACAAATCTTTCATGCCATCATTTTGATGGAACACGGTACTCTATTCAAAGAGATATGCCAAACTGTATTTTTTAGAGAGATATGTCATACTGTATTATGCCTTTGATTTCTGATTTAGAAGATGACATGTGATATGGTGTCATGGGGAAGGGAATAGCTTGGTAATTGTAGGAACATCATTTATTCCATGTAAATTTGAGAAAGGGAGTTTATTAATCTGCTACTTCAAAGCTCTAAGTATTTCCTCTTACAAGTACAGAGAAAGGGTACAGTAATATATTTTACATGGAAAATCTCAACCATTCCATGCTGATTAAAATCTCCAGAATTTGTAATACAATTAATGATAGTATTGTAAGAGGAATCCAAAATAAACCAGACATTAAGTGATTCACTGAAGAGTTACCTCTCTTTACCTTTGGAATTCCTTAGATATTCCATTCCAAAATGGCAGTCTAGAATTCTACCAAGCATACTCACCCTCCAGGACCGTAGAGAGATCTTGGCACAACACAATCTCAGACCCCTCTCTCGTACCTATTTCAGATCCTTCCCTCTACTATCATATAGAAGAAATTAGTCTATGAAGAAATGCACCCACACAAGATAAACTAAAACATGGCAAGGTAGAAAAAGTTTATTTTTGAATTTTTTAAGTTGTATGAGAAAGGTAAAGAAAAAATAAATAAAAGAACCACAAAAGGATGACAAAAGAAACTAAAAATTATGCTACCACAGAATCAAAATTCTACTCTGTAATATTAATGGCTTCCTGGGCTCTCATTTCTACCCCAATTCTACAACCGGCAAAAAACCACAGATGTTAGAGCCTTAAAGTTCAGGAGCTTATAAATATATGAAAAAATTAAAGTTTTAGGAAGCAAATTAAGTTAATGAATACTATTTATTCACTGCCCAAATCATAGTTTTATTATTAAAACAAGTATAATCATTTCATGCACATATCCAAGTATCCATAATAGACTCTGTGCTCCTATATTGGAGCTGTTCCCTCTGCCTGATAATTTCCCCCACCTCACCCCCATTTCTCCTAAGTCCCTAGCCCCTACTCCACCTTCTACAGCTTTAAAACACTGCTTAGGTGCTTCCTCTTCTGCCAAGATTTCTTAAACTCTCAAATACATACATTTACACAGAGAAATTAATCAATGTATTGTCTGAGTTGGGTTCCTGTTTCCTACCTAATACTTAGAACTACCTACCATAAAACATGTATCTGAAGTCCCACAAAGACCAAATAATCCTTCTTATTCTTGTATCTCCACTACTTGACACAATGACTTCTTAAAATTAATTCAAGGATACTTGAAAATATTATCAGTATATTCATATTCCATCGAATTTCCATGCTTATCTCCACTACTTGACACAGTGACTTCTTAAAATTAATTCAAGGATACTTGAAAATATTATCAGTATATTCATATTCCATCGAATTTCCATGCTTTTTCTCTAAAAAATTTTTCTATGCTTGAAAATGCTTGCAATTTTGCCACTAGGAATCATTACCTGCAATTACTCCAGTCAACTAAAAGTCACTACATTCTCGGAAGCACCCTCTACTTTATTCCACTTGGTGGCGCCAAAATTTTAACAATGTAAATTAGAACGACTACACTTGCAAACTGGTAATAAAGAAGTTTTTAACTTTTAATACAGTAAATGTTTGCTATACACAGCTGTTGCTTATTATGGAGCTTTTTAATTGTTCTTATTGATCTGGAAATGACTGAGTAGAGAATAAAGTTTAAAAAAATATTAAAGCAAACAATGGTATTATGAGCCTTTTGAAAAATACATAGAATTCAGCCATTCAGTTAATTCTGATTTACCAAGCTAATGCAAAGGCCCACTAGGTAAATGCTTTTAAAAACAGGTAAGTTAAATATCTTAAAGTCATTATTACCCACTATTCCTTCAGTTCCACCTCATACATGTACCTTTACTTCTTCCCCACAAGGATAAAAGACAACCACCAGGGGCAGAAAAAAAAAATGCAGCTACAAACAGGAAAGGATGACTGTAGACAAAGTAAGAAATCTAAAGAAGAAACTGTCAGGCCACAGGAAGGTCAAGGGCCCATAGTGCAGCCAAGTGCTTTCATAGCCAAGGAATAGAGGAAGAAAACGATAAGCAAAATTCCCTACATTTATCCCTTACTTCTAAGACCTAGACAGGGGCAAAATTTGAACACCTGAAAGAACTGTACTTGACTGGAAATATAATACATATTCTTTACTCATAGTAGATTAAACACACATATGCAAAGCCACTGGCCCTCAAACTAGAAAAGTGTTCCCTCCTAAAAATATATTTTGAATGTTTTGATGTCACCTATCACTCATTCAGTTTGCCTTTGTGAACTGTGATACTACAGATTTAACTTCCAACTTCTAAAGCATTAACAAAAAAAGAGATAATCAACTCAAAATGAAAGGTAGTTGTTGATTATATCTTGTGTAGAAACATGTTCCTTAAAGTGTAACTAATTTACCAAGTGCTTAGTGTTAGTGCTATTTTCCTGAAAAAATCTCCTAAACACAGTATTTTTGTGCCCATGTGCCCTGTAACCCCAGATCTGGGAGCTTAAAGAGAAAAATGCTGAATGGGTAGTTCTGGGCCATGTGACTTCTAAGGTTTCCTATGGATTTAATATAAGTATGACTGGATGGAAAGGTACAGGTCCACATTCTCCAATATTTAGTGACGTTTTATAATAAAAGAAAAATAAGCAAACCCAGAGGCACACAGCTGACAGCTGGACATGAGGAGAACCCCAGGCATATAAAATGGCCTTAAGGAAGAATTCATGCTACCAGGGCTGTTAGGTATTGAATACTGATTGCTGAACCAATTGGACTCTCTCTCCTCTTGGAGAGTTTAAAGGAGAGACACACTGAAGACAAGGAAGGCTGTGGTCCTGAAGCCTAGATACCCACTCAGAGGGAAGACAACATCCAGAAGTGGTAGAAGCCTTGAGGTTGAGAAAATAGTGGAGGAAGATAACAAATAAGTAAAAGCAGATCCACACATACACACAAAATTCCTAGCCTAGAAATTTACTCAATACTAATCTGAGGAAAGTAGTATCAAACACTTATTGGTCCATTCTTGGAACTGTTCTATTTTCCGAATTTTAGTTTTCTTCCTCCCCCATACTCCACTCAGACCTCTTTCTGCTCAGTTAATGAAAAAACTGTGCCAAGTACTTTGAAAAAACATCTGTCTTCATACACAAGAACAGTGGTAACTTCTCATTCTTTAAAAAGAGCCTTACCTCCAAGAGCCATGGCTTCAGTTTTCTGTCCAACAAAATATCAAATCCCAGGACTTCAAAGCAAACACTTTCACTTCCCGGAGATTGACCAGGTCTGCACATTCGATATGCATGTAGGACATGAGGTTCTGCTACAATCAGAGTCTTTACAACCAATTCCTACAAGAACAGTGGTTTTTAAAAAGGTTAAAATGTCTAATTAATTTGTATCGCATTTACGTGTATGGAACTAAGGCCTAGACTTACAAACTAGCATCCTGGAGGAGTTCACAAAGCTCTATGGCATGTAGCCCCTGCTGTGGCTCTGACTTCACTGCATCCAACCCCTCCCCTGCCTGCCATGCTACAGCCATGCTTGCATTTTTTGGGCTCCTTCGTGTTCCTCTTCTGGGACGACTCTTCCCCCGATATTCCCATGACTGGCTCCTTGAGACAGAGAGAGGCCTTCCCCAATCCCAGAGCCGAAAGCAGCCATGGTGGTACCTTACACTGCCACACACAGCAGAGAACCAGCTGATCTTGATCTTTTTCGTTAAAGCAGGGTCCTTGTCTGTCTTATGCACAAACCCATTCCCACTGCCTACGATAGTGCCTGGCATTGAGCAGATGCTCAAAACATTTGTGAACAGATGAGTAAAAGAGAAGTTGAAAAATGTGGCTTCTGTTTGTTAAGTAAGGGTAGGACCTTTTGCTAGCCTTCTCAGAAACCATTCAGAAAGGTTTAGGAGTGGCAAGGAGGAAAAATTCCAAGGCGTAAACCAAATTTCACAAACAGCACTGTAGAACCTCCACTTAGACAAAAGCTGGGAGGCCTGGGAGGACAGACGCTAAGAGAGCTGGGCTGTGCGGCAATGATCTTGTAGTTCACAAGGTCTGTCTGAGCTAAGAATACTGCCATACCTATCAACGTTTTCATTAAGGACACAGAGTGAGTTACTAACGTTAATAAAACACAAAGTTGGGTCACTAAAGTTTGAGAACAAGCTTTTGGAATGTGGAAAAGCTGTATCACTGGCTTTCTGACTCCCTCTCTACAGGTATAGACAATATAGCCCAGCAGTTAACAAGTCAGACTTTCTGGGATTGTTCCTGGCTTTGCTGTTTGCTAGATGTACAACCTCAGTCATGTTGCGTAAAGCTCTGTGAGTCTAATTTCTCCCAAATGTAAACTGAACACAGTAATAATACCTGCTGCAAAAGGATGTAAGAACAAGGAGACTCCCAGTAAAACTCTGAGCATAGTGCTGAGAAGAGGGTAAATGTCCAGTATTAGCAACTTAACTACTACTATTGTTAGAGTTAATCCTCTAGAGCTCCACCTCATACGCCAGGTCAGATACAAACCCTCTCCTACCTTGTGGGAGCAATGTTTATTACATGGGAGAAAAAATGGGAGGCAGAAATTAACCTGTCACCCAGAATCCCAACCCAGATCATATATGGGGCTAAGTATCAGAGATGCCATGAGAGGCTGTTCCAAGAAAATGTTATTAAAAATAAAGTAATAGTAATACCAAGTATATAATGATAACAGACAAAGAGCCATTTCATACAGTCATTACTGAAACCACTGGAAAGTAAGAGAAAGTGCCTTTAGAGTAATAAGCGTGTGAAGACAGGGAGGATAAGTGAATATTAATTAATAAACCCTGAATTACAAATCTGTGTTTTTCCCTACATAAAAAACAACATACTTTCAGGAATGTAAAGACAAGACTGCAGGTATATGTGAAAATCAGTGTGGAATTTGAAACATATAAATCAAATTCCACTAATGCTTTTGAGAATTTCTAATATAGCATCATTGCTTTGGAATGATTTGTAGATTTGTACCCATATAAAAAGCAGTCACTATTTTAACCTCAATGGCCTGGTTTTCTATTGATTTATTTGTTCTTGACCAGCACTAAAGCATACATCTCAGCTTCAGAGAGGATGTTGAATGTTGGTTTTCATATAGAGACAATTACTTTTTAGACAACTTACCTCCAAAAAAGAGGTCTTTGAAAAAAAAAGTCCTAAGTTAAATTCATGAAATTTGTAAACTATGGCATTAAGATAAAAATTTACTTCATCATTACCTTCTCCACCTCCTGTCATTCTCTTTTTATCTCATTGAGTCACCTTAAACAGACATCTTTATAAAGTATTTACAATTCTTAATAAAGGCCAGTTTTTAAGTAACTACATAAGTGTAGTCAGTTTGACAAGATAATTATAAAAAATGTACTTGGGAAAGTTAATACCTTATTAAGTATTAACTGCTTAATTATTACTAAGTATTATTACTAATAAACATTCTAACTAATGTAGGCAAGAATGACACAGAATTTACCCATTTACAGAAGAGATCATGAATGTGTCAGCTTAATAGGTTTTCACTGGTTGTGTTCAGGTCATACCTGAAAAGTATACTTTAGACTTTAACAGAAAAGTTAATTTCCATACCATTTCATTAGTATTGCACTGACTTGTACACCTTCTCCTAATTCGATTTATGTGAGGAAAGTACCACATAAAACCAATGTATGTAAAGCTAGTGATGCTCACTTTTCTGACTCTCTCTATACATTTCTCAATAAGACAGCCCAACAGGATCCTCCTTTTCACAGACTTCCCCAAAGAACAAAATCCATGTTGAAGTGAAAACTTTGTTAAAAAAAAAAAAAAGAATATCACAGAGTATATAAAGCTTTCTCAGTTGAGTGAGCTATTCATCAATTGACCCATTCCTTCAATCATCCAAGTAGATGTACAAAGATGTATGATCTTTCATCAAAGAACTACTGTCCAGGAATAACAAATTTTACCAGTTTGATGCTCTGGCCCACTATGATAGTAAAATATCATTATTAGAATACTTTTTTGAATTTCCACAAAATTGGCCTTGATGAAATAAATAAATGTGTAAATAAATAAGCATGGCATTAATGTAATCAAATTCCTTGTTTTAATGTATTTAGCCTCTTAGGAAGATTCAACAGAAAGTTAACAAGTTGGTAGGCATCTAACCAAATCCTGATGACAAACATTTGTGGTGGAGTCCCTATATTTTTAAAAATTTTGTATGTGTTGCCAACATTTACAAATCAAATTTATGGCTTCCATTAACAAATCACAAGAATGAACCACACTGGATCCAAAATATCATGTGGCACCAATAGGCTGGTGCTGAGTGGTATCTACTCCCTTGGGACCTCTTTTGCTCTTAAGATTACCACAGTTCCCAGCACACCCTATTTACTTCTACCCAGACTGCTTCTCTCCTCTCCTTCTTACTTGTTTGACAACTAAAGGCTTTGGATTTACATTCTGTGATATAGAAAAGAAGGTGTAAACAAAAACATCCAACAAAATCTACACAAGGGTAAATATTATGATGCTGATTTTTCCTCTGATTTTCTCAAGAGAACCAAGTTCAGTTAACTCTGAATTTTCATGCCCATCTTCCACGATAGATTTATTTAAATAATACATTTGTCCCCAAAAGAAAGATCAAATTGTACAGCCCTAATCATATTAAGTACTTTCAACAGACACACTCTTCTAACTTTGAATACGATCTTAATACTTCTGCTGGGATTAATAAAGGATCTGTTTCACCAAACTTATGTTCTCATATCTATTTCCTTTTCTCACTTTACCCTTACAGTTTGGAATCCCATCCACTGTCATGGTCAACTGTACCCCAAACATACACTTTTAACTTCCTGCTTCATCTTTCTACCAGAAACACCATTTCAAGTTCAACATCTAACATTTAGTTCAAGAGTAAGTGCCTCCACGAAGACGTCCTCCTATCCCCATCCTATACTGTATGTAAGTTCCCCTACATGCCCATAGAGCCAATGCATGCCTCTGTTGCTTTTCACTACATTGCATTTCACCGACAATTTATGTGTAGATTTTTCCTACCAAACTCTAAGGTTTTTGAGGACTAGAGCTATATCTTACAAATCTCCAAATTATCAGCCAGAGACAGGCTTATATTATGGGTTCAATAAATGGTTACTGAATGAATGAATGAATAGAACTCTTTCATTCATCTGAAAAATTAAGCTCTGTACCTTCTCAAAACAAATTCCTTCCTCCACTATTTCAGATAATGCCACACCCATTTTCCCTATAATCCCTCCTTAAAACTGCAGAGGACTCTCTGAATACTCCTTCTCCCCCATTCTGGACATTCAATTAACCCCAATGCTTACCTCATTGTCACCCCTTTTACTGTGGTTCAATTCAGGCCATTCTTTTCATTTACACTACTCCCAAGTGCTCTCCTCTACCTACTCTTGGTTTCATTCTAACCCATCCTACACCCATTTCCAGATTTGTCTTTTAAACTCATAGACTTTGGCCATATTATTCTTCTCCCTGAAAAACTGGAAGGAATGAAACTTTACTGCCTACCAAGTTAGGCCTTAATTTTCAGACCGAAAATTTGGCCTCCACATGTATTCTCAGTGGTTCATCCCCACAAACCCCACAAACAAATACCGTGTGCCAAACTGATGGATCACTATTCTTATACCCCATGCTTTTACTTAGGCTTTTGTCTTCACCTAGAATTTCCACTCTCCTATCCCTAGCAGTAATAATATCACTTGTTTATTAAGGGCCATCACAAATTTCACCACCTGCATGAAAACACACTAGTTCCCCAATCTAATGTAATCAGTTCTCTATTCAAAATGTCGATGATCCTGAAAATAATCTAAGGAAAGAGTTATAATTGTGAAATGGTATATAATCTTACTGAAATATCACTCCAAAACTTAGCAACATCATGTTCATTTGCTTGCAGGAATTCTGTAAACCATCTGATGGAACGTTTGCTGCCTTTGTTTTCAGTTTCATCCCTTTCAAAGCGCTCGTTGTGCTTGTTTACAGAGTAGTTGGTCAGATGCATGTATAACTGGGTCTGTAACAAGGAAGGACCAAGTGTTACCACCTGTAGGATTCTAGAACCAGGGGGTCTCACAGAAAAGAAAGCATCTGAACAGGAAAGACAATTTTAAAGTTTAAAATACACAGACTGACAGTTTCATGATTATTTAAATAATTTTCCAATTAAACAATGCTGCATTCCCTTAAAAGGATTGCAAATGTAGTCATCTGCAGAATCACTTTACGTTGTTCAAAATATATCATAAGAAGTATTAAAATAATAAGAATATACAGTTACTAAATGAAAGTGTGAAACTATATATTGATGAGCAAGAAAAGTGGCTCTATGTTTGTTTTTGTTTATTCATTTGTTTTTAATGTTGTTAGTCACAGTTTTCAACAAAATTTGGGAAAGGAATTTTCTGAGAGAACATTCTGTGTCTTTTCAGAGAAAAGTTTTTGAAATGAAAGCTCAAGTAAGCAGCATAAACCAACAAACAGGACTGCCCAGCACAACCTCTGCCCTCGATCACTGACCAGGTGGCCATGGACTCATCAACTAGACTGAGTGCACCTAGTCAACAGCCAGTACCATACAACACTGGAGTCTAAGTGATGGACAGCAAATTCACAGTGCTCTATATTGGGGCTTTTATGTTAAGTTTCTTTATATTCTCATGTTTGTTTATACTGTGATTCTCAACTAAACTTGAAAAAGAATCCAAAATTTAAAACTTTGTAACTGTCAATTAATACACATCTAATGACTCCTTATCAATCTAGTATAAACATTCAAGTCTGTAATTATACCTTCATGATCCTACTCCCAGAGATTACTTTAGATGACAAAGCTGCATCACAATAAATACATGCTTCATGCACATGATTAATATTTTGGTTTGTTAATAACCAAGTATATTTATATCACATTTTATTTTCACTGCAGTGACTTAGGTCTACAGAATCTTTCAAGCAAATATTCAGAACTAATCACTTGATTGTTGTTTACTAACCTACCTGGTTAATGATGAACAAGGCAGACACAGTTCCTACCCCCATGAAACTATGAAAAAAAATCTTTAAATTAAGTGATATTTAAAAGAAAGAGCATAAACCTATGCTTGTCTTAAAGAAAAGTAAAATTCAAACCATAACATTTCTGAGTTTCCATAATATTTGTCATTTTTAATTTTTATAAAGGCTGGAAAATAATTGTTTGAGCTCTCCAACTGGTAAAAAATGTCTTAAAACAAATAATAAAATTGTAAAAATTCTAGTATTGTAGTGAAAAAATAAACAAGAAATGGAACTTTGCATCTTTCTTAAAACATTATCTTTGTAAGTAGATTTGGAATTTCACAGTCTCACATCTACCTTGATACAAATCCCCTTCTAAACGGTTCAGTGCCAGTTCAGTTGGATGTCTGCCATAATGAGAAGTGAAGGCAGCTATGAACCAAATAGCAACCTGCAAGGGATGAAAAGGGTGTAACCATTCCCTACCCTATTTTTCAGCACATAGGCTCAATATAATGAATTGATATATACAAACTTTTCAAGGATTGACTGACTGCCACATTGGTAGCAAAAATGAATATTTATTATATTTCAGTGTCTGAAATTCTGTCTTATGATCTCCTTACATATAGTTTATCAATCTTTAATTGTTATCCATGTTATCATAAAGATATCTTAAATCTATGTTCTTACTCTTATCTAACCCTACTGCTAATACGTCAAATTAAGTTACCTTTTCCTTCACATGTGGTTAGACTAGAATATAGTTCCTTGCCTTTCTTACTCTAGTCTCTCCCATCTGCACCCAACCTCATTCTGCACACTGTAGATCAGGTGACCTTCTTAAAACACCAATCTCATTCCTTCTTTCCCTTCTTTAAAATATATCAATGTTTCCTTCTTCTTAGGTTAAATTCTAAAATCTAAGACATGGCATACAAAACACTACAAGAGCCGAGGACTCTCCATACATATCTCTGAATTCCTTCGCCTTCTCAGTTTGTACATTAGCCATACTACACATGTCTGCTTTCTCCAGACATACCACACTCCCTCTTACTTCTGGGCCATTTTTCTGCCTGGAGTTCCACCCTACTCCATCCTACCCTCCATCTGGCTAACCCCTCATTATTCATATTCACTTTTCAAAGATCATTTCTAATGTCTATCTCCAACTGGGCTAGATGCCCCTTCTATGCGCTACCATAGCACCCTCAATTTCTTAGATCATTAAAATCACCATCTGGTAGAACACTTGCTTATTTTATTGTCTTCCTCCCCACTAGACCATTGCTTTTGTAAGGTCAAGTGCTGTATCCGTCTTGGTCACTGTTTTTCCAAAATCAGCACAATGCCTAGAATGCAGTAGAGTCCAAACATTAATTGGCAATTGGATATATCCACATCCGGATTATGACCTTCAAAAAGATGACTCTTTATCTTCCTTTCCTGTGAAAATGTGAGTTTCCTTATTCCTCCTTTGCCAGGTTAACTGAACATAGCAACATTTATGATCATTCATTATTTAATTTCTAAAATATGACCACTCTTAATGAAATAAATTATGTGCATAATACTGGAGAACAATAATCAGGCCTATGACAAAAAGGAAAACAATACGTAATTGTAATTCTTCATATAATTAATAGATACAAAAATAAGGTTAAAGGTTAACTAAACTTTGAAGTATGAATAATAAATTACGGATTGACCTTCACAAAACTATAAATTACAGTTTATGACTTTCATGATAAATTATGATAATTAGAGTTTAACCTTCCTAAACTATAAATCGCAGTTATAAGTTTCATCAATATGTATGGCTGCACTAAGGAAATCTTAATTTTAGATAGTTGGAAAAATACCTACAGAAAGCTCTTAATAAACTTAAAAATGCACACTGAAAGTGCCAATGTATGTCTATACTTTGTATTTGGTCAGTGTAAATGTACAATCTTCTGTTTTGTTCAAAAAAATTAAGTAACTCTACTTATTGATAACTTCTAATTTCTCTGTTTCATATACTTTCGCCAACACTCTACATGTTTAAACTGTACCTTTTATATAAATCCTGCTCCAATACCATCTCCTCCATGAGGAGCTGAATACCCAACTATCCCTATACTCAAAACCATGACACTTTATCACTATTTATAAGTCATTTCTGTCCAGGGCCACTTCATACACATTTGTACTTTGAAATCCATTTCTATACAGGGATACTGCATATACATGTGCATGTGTCATTGCTATACAAGGCCACTATCTACACATGGATGCCTTGAAATGCATCCTTGTGCTCACAGCACCCAGAGGGAGTGCCTTTTTAATTAGTCTGCCTTGAGCAGACATCTTTTTTTTCTTAATTTTCACAAAGCTGTCTATAAAAGTTAGAAGCAGCCTTGTTTATGTATACAATTCTCCAGACTATAAAAACCTAAAAGAATGGACTTTGATTCATGTAATCTTTATATACAATAGGTGCTTTAAAAGTCCACATTGAACAAAGGAATAAAATCATAGATTCTGTCTGATAGCACTTACCAAATTGGACTCATTAGGTGGAATGTACTTCTCTGTTCCCATTCGCACAAGTCCATCATGGTAGAGAAATATTTTTAGTGGATCACACGATGTTATGAGAATATAAATTCGCAAATCAAACTTGTAGCCTTCCATTAGGAAAGGCTTTTCAATGTATTCTTGAACAATCAAATGATCCTGAGATGGAAGTTTGTCACCATTTCTTATCAGAGAAATCCTAAATGTAAAGAAAAGAATTAACAGAATCATGTGACATGGAGGCAAGATGTTTATAAAGTTAAAGTATTCAAGAAGAAAATGGTGGAGTAGGGAATTTCAAAGTCTTTACCTCCACAAAAGCAATGAATAACCAAAAATATTAATGGATTCAACTTCTTTGGAACCCTGGAAACTAACCAAAAGCTTGTAACAACTAGAGAACACTTATGCACACACACACACACAAAAAAAACAATGAACAAACAAAAATAGCTGAATCTATGTAAGGGCTATGTAGCATTTTAACTTACTCTAGTCCATTCCCTTAGCTGCCAGATTAGCAATAGCCTTAAATAACAGCCTATGTTCCCACTCCAGGTACTGGCTCTAGAGGAAGCAGTACAGACCTTATTTTGTGGTATACATGTATTTTTTACCTGTCTGGAAGCTCCCTAGAGGACCTCAAAGGGTTTGCTTTTATCTTGCCTAACTGGGAACTCTTCCAGTACTGAAGCAGCTAAATGTAGGGCAATTATTGGAAGTACATAACAGTCCCTGCTGCCCGGAGCAACAAATAATGGTTGGGCAAAAAAAGTAGATTGAAAAGATTGGGGAGATAGACTGAAGAATGAGAATCTTTGGGAATTAAGAGCTTTAAAAAGCTCAGACATATTACTGAGTATCTAGAAAGCCTTGTGCATGCCCAGGACTAGGTGCCCACTCAGAGAAGACCAGAGGAGGTCCTAAACTCTAATGTCTGGCTAACCATTGGGCTCTCTACAAGCAGGAAATGAATCCTAAGTCAACTGTAAACAGCCTACTTAAATTTTGGTTTTTGGGGTTTTTTTTTGTCCCAAGTGTTTAAGGAAATCTCTGCCCCATTACTAGTTAGCCAGTGACTTAAAACAGAAACTTCAGTGGCCACACACAGCAAAGAACACAGACTTTACAGAAAGGTCACTACACAAATAAATAAAAAATACAACAAGCAGCAACTGAAGACCCTAGAGAGAGGTGAGAATCTAATTTCCAGAGTTGCTACATTACCATATTCACAACATCCAATCTGCAATATATGAATCAAGCAAGGAAAAAATATGGCCCCCACACAGGAAAATTATCAATTAATAGAAAATGTCCCTGAAGAAACCCAGACATTGGGACAACCAATTTTTTAAATCGACCATTGTAAATTTGTTCAAAAAGCTAAAGGAAACCATGTGAAAATAACTGGACAAAGCCATGAGAACATTATCTCACCAAAGAGAAAATATCAAGAGATAAGAAATTATTTTTTTAAATGGGGATGAAGAAGAACCTTCTGGAGTTGAAAACTACATAGCTGAAACAAAACAGATTTTGGAAGGCAGAAAAAGAATCATTGAATTTGAAGACAGGTCAGTTGAGATTAACTAGTGTGAGGAACAGAGAGAAAAAAATGAAAAATGAACAGTACCTAAGAGCCCTGTAGGAGACCATCACGATTACCAACATATATATAATGAGAGTCCCAAAACGTGAGAGAAAGGGGCAGAAAGAATATCTATCTGATGAATTAATAGCTGAAAACTTCCCAATATGATAAAAAATATATTAACCTACATATCCAAGAAGCCCAATAAACTCCAAGTAGGATGAACTTGAGATTCCCCAATAAGACATACTATAATAGAACTGTCAAAAGCCAAGACAATGTTCAAAGTAGCAAGACTGAAGCTACTTATCATGCCCAAGAGCTTCTCAACAAGATGAGCAGCTAATTTCTCATCAGAAACAAGTGTTGGTGAGGATTTGGAAAAAGGGAACCCTCATGCACTGTTGGGAGGAATTCACAATGGTACAGACACTATAGAAAACAGCATGGAGGAGCTCCTCAAAAAATCAAAAACAGAAATACCATACAATCCAGTACTTCCACTTCTGAAGATTTACGAGAAGAAAACAAAAACAGAAGTGCAAAAAGGTATATGCACCACTGTATTTATATCTGTGGCAGCCAACATTTGGAAGCAATCTAAGTGTCCATCAATAGATGAATGAATAAAGAAGATTATTACTTATTTATAATGTTCTAACATTAAATATAGTAACATATAAATTTTAACATTAATGTTTAACATTGAGAAAATTCTGAACCTCAAGTATTTACCCTCCAAAATAATTTTCCTTTGATACGAACATATGGTGAACCAACTTTACATTAAACAATTAACATAAAATTCTGACTAATACTACATGTAGTTTATTTTTAAAATTACTATGGGTAAAAATAATGTCTGATTAAATCATTAAATTATGATTAAAACTTAAAAGGAAATTTGTTGAACTGTAATTTACCTGGCAGCTACATTTCCAAACATCTTTTTTCCCACAGCTTTTTAAATCACAAGATTAAAATGACTGATGTTTTTTATTAACAGCAGCCTCAGCCACACTTTCCTTGAAAAAGTACATTGCAAAAAGCTAACATATGAAAGCAAAAGGAAACAGGAATATTAAGTTGTATAATCCATTCTAAGATAACATGTCTAGTTCTTGGCACTTCAGCTTAAAATATGTTTTATTCATTTTAAATATAATTACCATAGCTACATAATGAAAAAAACTTATCTGTAAAGCAGATACATAATTTGCTTTAAGATTCTAGTTGTGAAGAGTTAATCCCCTTTCCATTTCTTTCTCCCTGTCAGTTTAGCTCTATTTTATCAACTGAATTTTACTCTTCAACTTTAATCTAAAATTATTATAAATGCAAATTTTATGTTTAAGAAAAAATTAGAAAACATCTTTTTTCTCTTTTTTGTTTTCTCCTATTAAAGTCTCAAAACCTATTGATTTAATTTTTAAATCGAATTAGTGAACCCTGTGAAACAGGTTGAAAGGACTTATTAAATATTTAGTTCCAAAAGAGCAGTAGAAAGGAACCTACTTTTTTATTTTTTCATATAAGTACTCAGACATGAGTGAATGCTCACATATATTCTTTTCCTTTTTTTATTTTTTATTTTTATATATTCTGGGTAAAAAATACCTACCCATGACCCATTGCACCATTAGCTGGTTTTACTATAAAAGTTTTCTGCTTTCTTTTCTTCTTCAATTCTTTCATATAGTTCTGGAATTGTGTATATTCAGCAGGAAAGATCCACGTTCGAGGAACAAAGGTATAATCCAGTGGCCGGCACTTGATCATTCTGCAAATTAGAGGTAATGTGAAAAGCAATTTGTATTCAAAATTTTTAAATTTTTTTCTTTCTCTGTGCTACTGACATTTACAAGGATTTATATTCCATTTCTTCATTTATTGGTTCAATCATAGACTCACTCAACAAATGTCTGTTAAGCATCTATTATGTGCTAGGCATTGTTCTAGACAATGGGGATATATCAATGAAAAAAAATAGACAAGAATCTCTGTCTTATGTATTAACTTAGTAGTAGATCAAACATTTATTTGGGTACATACTATGTGATAGGTACTGGGGATAATTAAGATAAATTATTATGATTTCTGCTCTAAGGAATTTACATATAGACTATTAATGAAATACAATGTGCTAAGTACAATAAAGACATATAAGGCAAGGTAACATATGGAAAAAGTCATTATCTCTTCCTCAGGGATGGGGATGGGCAACAGTAAATGATTCACAGTCAGATCTTTAAAGATGATTTTGAGTTCTCTGGGTTACCCATAGGTAGCAGTTTCTGGTCACGTTTTACTCCAGTGTTGTTTGGAGTTTAACTACTTTTCTGAGAAAACCTTGTGAAGCCTCTGAGTAAGTAGAGGTTTTGTTGATATGAACTACATGTGCCTATACATGTGGTTTAATGGCTACAATGTATGTTTAGATTTTATTTTTCTGTTTTATTGTTTTATCTGACATATTTAGTATTTGTTACAAATAAGGCTGCCTATTTGATGCATGATAATACTATGTATAAAATGTCCATTTTTGATTATTCCAAAAGGTTAAACATATATTATATACTGATTCCCAAAAAATATATGAAATTAGGAGAATATTTTTAAATATCTATTAAAGACAATCTATTTCAAAAAAGGTGCTTTTTATAAATGTATACAAGTCTTTTAGAGATGAGCAGATTCTGTCTTCAAATGAGATCAGTAAAACCTTAAAATGGAACTATAGTGTATGCACAGAAGTAGGGCCTAAATTCTGAGACCCAGGTATGGAATACATAAGCCACTTGGCCTTCACAACTGAGATTCATATGGCTATCATAGTTCAATTGCTTTTCCAAGAGAACCCTATAAAAAGTTGTTTCCACCAGGAGAAGGGAAATAATTACCATCTCTATCTGTCAAATCCAGAATAAGCCAACAAGCTAAATAATCTCAATACAAAAATAGGCTAACATTGTCTGGTTTGAAAAGGTTTGGTTTTTTGGGTTTTTTGGTAAAAACAGAACCAGGGAACTTTTAAAACCTTGCTAGTTCTAAAATTCTTTCTCTTCCATTAAAATACAATTTCAATCAATGTAACCTTATGAAAGATAGCATTAAAATACTCCAATCATAAACTTTGAACAGGTCTTCTCCATTATAAGAAAATGAAGATTACTTGGTCATATTTCTTGCTAAGAAATCCTTCCTACAGATCTCCCCCATTCCTGGAAAATGGTTGATCCTCTGGAAAATAAAAAAGATAAATATTCTCATTGACTTATTAAATATATTCATTTATACTACAATATAGTTAAATCCATCCTTTGAGTTTAATGTCTTAATAAATTGACATTAATGTAGAACATTTCAAATTAAATGACCTACAATGAATTCATAGAGTTACAGAATCTATGGTAACCAGAGAATAAAACTGCAAAATTTGAAAGAAATCAGAAAAGGGAGTTTAGATAGATATTGAAGTTACAATTTTCTGTATTGAATAACTGGTATTTTTGTGTCCAATTATTTTTAGTATTCCCAATTTACTATATTCACACAAATAAACATTATAGTAAAATTGGGGAAAACTGACTTATTTCTTCCCTACAGTCAATTTTGTATTACCCTCTATGCTAACAGATGAAAAAGAGCTATACAAAAATGTCGGCAATCTAAAATTCTGTGAATTTGGCTTCTTAGTTTGATGTCTTTTTTAAAATACAAGTTTGCATTACATTCTAAAAATAAAAGAATAAAGCCAGGCTACACATAGCAGACATTACAAGGTATTTCCACATCCTGATCTCTCCATGCAATCTATTCTATATTAACTCAACTTTAAGCATAAAACAAAGCACCAGCCTAAAAACAGTTTTCTTCCATCAGTTCTTCCTTAAAGATGGCAAGAGGTTAAAAGTTAAACTGGAAGGGATGCAGGCTTCATGCAAAGAGTCAGTACAAGTGGACAGCAATAAAACAGGCTATTCAGTTAAATTAGAACTAAATTGTAATGTATTGACATATTAAGAATCCTATCTAAAGAAAATTGTATTGGAATTCACATTTCTTTCCTAATAACTGATCCAATAACTTTCCAGTAAATGGTCATGATTAGGTCCCCACCTGATAATTTTGCAGCTCTGCAATCTTCTCCTGCTGAACAGCAGAATCACACCATATAAGGTTACTTGTTTCATCCTCATCTGGAGTTTTCATAAATCCCATTTCATCTATTACTAAACGAACTGCAAGTAAACAGTTAAGTTAAACCAAAATCAAAACACTTCCGAAACACATTCATTGTGGAAACATTTATATTTATATATAGTTATATAGTTATATATGTAATACATAAAAATTTTAGCTCACAGTATTTCATTTGCAAAATACTAATTGGTATAGCATAACCTTATTTTTAGTTATAACAATTTATCTAAGGCCAAATTGTACTCAACAGTAAGAAGAACCGTTTTTAGGTTGCATCCAAGATCCTTAGTTTCAATCCTTTGAGACTTAACAGATATACAACACTCCTGAAGAGTTTAGTGATTATTCATGGCACAGTGAAAACATACACACAGCCAACATAATGCATCTACTCAGGAAAATGTTCTTTGATGGTCTTTCATGACCTTGGGCTAGGTACAAAATGGAAAAGGTAAAAATAGTCCCTGATCATAAGACCTCTCCTGTATCTTCTACCTCCCTAGTTCAAATTATTTTTAGCAGTTAAAACCAAGTCAGTTATATTGACTCAGGATATGAAATAATGAAGAGAATTCACAGTAAAGATTTGGAAACTGGCCCTCCTATCTGCCCTTAGCCCTCTAATTCTACTGAGAAAATTTATGCTCAGAGGAAAGCTTGTTTTTTAGTACAAACTATTTATATGCTCTGATTTTGGTTATCACAATCAACATATTGACATTATTCTTTCAATGAATTTCAGGCTTAAAATAAGCAAAAGCAAAATACTTAGGATGAATTTGGAGTTCCAACACAATTCCTAGTCTTAATAGAATAGTGTAACAATGTTTCAGTGTTTCACTTTTAAATGTTTTCCTTTCACTGGTATTTTATATATGAGCAAAAATAGCAAGGGGAAAAAAAAGGATCAACTGTCTCATTAAACTTGGCTCAAGTATGAAACCGACAGGCAGACATTTGCTGGCCTCAAGTCCTGGAGACTCTTGATTATTTTCTGGCTGAGGAGAGAGTAAGGACTTTTTAAGCTTTAGTGCCTAGAACACAGGTATAAAAGAAGTGACTGAAGGTGGATGAGGTCGAGAAAGGATTGTTGACCTGAAGCTGCTGTTTTCCCTGACAGGCTTAGTAAACTTGGCGTTCTTCTGAATGTCCAGGTGACAACACACAACACAAGATCTGGGAGGAGCTGTTCCTTCCTCACCCACCACAGACCACCATGCAGCTTTGGCATCCTGAGGGCTCAGGAGCTGCTGTGCTACCAAGCGTTTCTACGGAGAGCCGGGCAATAGCAACCCAGCCTAGGAGGCTCCTTTCGCTGCCTCACAGGCAGAAAACACAGATGAGGCCAGAACAGGAGCTCAGGAGCAGACTTGTCCCTGAGTATATGAGACAACATCTGCACTTCCCAGAGATAACTGGGAAGACCAGAAAAGGAACTGGCGGCAGTTACGGAGGGAGGGAGTGTAATGAGCTACTAAAATACTGGTATTAATATACACATGAGCCAGTGAGGCAGGAAACATTCAGATTATACAACAATATTAGGGAAGATTCATTCATTCTTCATATTTACAAAACCAAGTTTATAAAGTCAGTCATATACAAATCTCTTTAATAATGAAATTCAAAGCTTAGACAGCTGATACATTTAAATTTCAAAGAAAAATATAATACTGAGTTTTAAACTTTCACCTTTTTTCAGTTAAGTTAATCATATTTTGTTTGAACTAAAATTTTATAAATTAAATGGAATCTCTTTAAGGGTATCATCTTCTGCTGCATAGAAAATAAATCACTTTAACGTTTCTTTTCCAAATAGGAGGGATAGGAGGGTGTAGAAGACTAAAGCCTAAATTCATGGTTTTAGATGTTGATCTTCTAGGAGCTCTTTTAAAAAAAGAGGTGAACTAATTGCCTCTATCTTGAATCTCTGCCAAAGCAAACTCCCCATTGGTAAAATAAAGATAACCATAGCAATCATTTTTCTCCCATTCCCCTGGCATACTTACATATCCCCTTTTCCAATCTTTCTCATCCTCATTTAATGAAAATCACCAAAAATACATATCTTACAAGTTTGTCTTACTTTTTTTTTTCTTTTTTTGCCTTGACCCATTGAGCTCTCACAGGCTATTTGGGAGTTTTAAAAATAGAATCCATGCAACAAGTCTCTAAATTTTAGATATAAAAGACACCTGTATGTTCATTTTAAATTTCAATCCATAATTTATTTAGGCAGCATGAAATACTAAAAAGAACACTGAATTTAGACCAAATTAATTCAGGGTCAAGTTACACTTCTGCCATCTGTGTGACCTTGGACAAATTGCTAACTCACTGAGCTTCAGTTTCTTCAACTGTTCTGTAAGTGGCATTATAAAAATAATAAAGTGAAATTTCATAAGGTATTAATTAAAGCACTATTGTGAGAATGTATTTCAATATTCCAGAATGTGTCTCCATGAGAAAGTCTGAGAGAAATACTTCTCTAAGACTAGGACTAGAATAAGTCATACTTCCTTTGAATAACTGGAATGATTTTATCTTCTGGGCACTGTGAATTCTATAATTGATTATGTTTCAATATTTGCTTTGGTTGTTAGAAACCCCTGAATCAAATCCAAATCCATCTCTCACTACAGAGGATCTCATGAAATGCATTTTGTAGCTTTACCAGACACAAGATTCATAATATTTTACTGTCTTTATTTTTTTCTTATTTTTTTTCTTATGGCTATTAGCCACTTCAAATTCACTACTAGAGTAAGGAAAGGCTGGAGAAAAGAGAGCAAGGGAGTAATGCAGCCTGTTTCACAGCGTTATTTGGAAGATTAAATAGGTGATGCACGTGAAAATATTTGGGGAAGGGCTGTAAAATAATTAGTATTAAAATTACTAACAATCAAAATATTCTACATGAGGAAACAGGCAGTGCCAGGGCAAAAACATAGGTGTCCTGACTATGGCTTAATTATCTTTCCAAGATACAATTCAACCTGTCAAAGTTGCAGTAAGTTACAAGCAAGCTGCTGTTTATCACAGGTTAAATAAATGAAAAGCAAGGTAGCACATTCTTCTTGACACATGGCCAATTCTCTTTCCCTCCCCTATTCTAGGTATTCTCTAAACAATCCCTGATAAGCTAAACACTACTGAGCAGGCTTAGCAAAGGAATACAGAATCAGTATAAAAAATGTTAAGACAACTTCAGCCACCCAAACACTTCCTGGGAAAGTGAGAGGGAAGTGAGCTTAAACACTGTTTTTTAGATCAAATATGCTTATGAGCCCCATTGGAACCTTAGCAGAAAATGAGAGGGTAAGTTAATGCTACCCGCCAATCACTGTTACAATGGTTACCTTATTCTTGTTTTCTCACTCTAGAAAATATGCTGTAAATAAACCCTAAACTTCTCACATCTCACCTCCCACTCTAACTCACTTTAAGTCTTCTCCTCTCAGGAATAGTTGGGGAAGAGAGTACTGGGGGAGCTCAATTCCAATGAAATACTCCACTGATTGCTGATGTACTTTGGTGAATTACTGTAAATAGGAAGGAGACTCTCAAAGATTAACGAGGGTAAGATTCATATGATTTTCTTCAACTCTTAATGCAAAATGATTAAGAAAAGAGGAAGATTATTTGACTTCTTGCCGTATTCATGAGTTTTGCAATACTCGGCAAAATTATCTTAATTTAAAACAATTCTTATCTATTCTCTGCACTGCAAATACTGCTTACACATAAAAACCAGAATTAGATTAATTTTTTTTAAAGCACATCAAAAAATACGTTTTTACTCTGTTCTTTAAGTCAGGCTCTCAACGTTTAATAAAAACAGATTTTGCACTTTCCATTTTACATTTAATATTTTAATCTAATGTTCTTATTACTTTACACTTGACTTAAAAATTAAGTGAACAAAATTAAATATTAATCAAAATCATATATAGTTAATACTATCCCATTAGTAACTAAAGCTTTTAGTTTCCACTGATACTCTATTTGATTACTGACAAGTTAAATATCTCATAAAAAAAGAAAATTTTATAGAAGGCATTTAAAAATCAATTACACAACAGATAATTATCTCTGAATTTCCACATTGTTTTCAATATCAAACTAGTTTTTCCTACAGTTATAAAAATCTCATTAATTCTAAAGAGACCTACCAATTTCAAACTTTGTCCCAGCAACATTTGCTGTAATGATTCCCTTCTTTTTCTTCTTTCTGACTTTCCTTTTCATTGTGTTTTGATAAGGCAATTCTGTGTTCAGATCCAGGGGAGAGGGTCCCTGAATAACTTTAAAAGAAATGTAAACCAACCAAATATCACTGAAATAACAAAAATTCCATACCATAGAACACAAATCTCCTCCCAACAAAAAAGGGAAAACTATAAGTTCCGGTTATTTAAGAGTTGTCAGTTAATTTTTAATTTTTTAAAAAAATAAGCAGTGATGGCCTATTATATCCATATTGTATGACAGGATTAAATCAATCTGCTTACCTCTTTCTTGAGGCAGAGATGGCATTATTGTCTGTGCCGACTAGCAATCAGTGTGTGCTGCTATACCAACCCTAAGGAAATCAGGAAGACCTGCATTAGTTTAAGCAGGATACGGACCCAAATCACTGAGAGTTCCTATCATAATATCTTGGTGGAATCCTCAGATTTCAGGACACTGAAGTTATGGGATAAGAAGGTACCTGCAGGAATTTTAAAACAAAGTCATTTAGAAAGCAGCTTTCATGAAATTTTTTTTATATATGTCAATGCTAGTCTTAAAAATCAAGAGGGGAGGAGCCAAGATGGCAGCATGAGTAGAGCAGCGGAAATCTCCTCCCAAAACCATATATATTTTTGAAAATACAACAAATACAACTACCCCTAAAAGAGAGACCAGAAGATACGGGACAACAGCCAGGCCTCATCTATACCTGCGAGAACCAAGTACCTCGCGAAGCGGGTAAGAAACAAGCCCCGGCCTTGCGGGACCTGAGCGCCCCTCACCCCAGCTCCTGGTGGGAGGAGAGGAGTCAGAGGGAGGAGGGATAGGGAGCCCAGGACTGCTAAACACCCAGCCCTAGCCATCCGCACCCAGAGTGCAGACACACAGTG